GCATGTTACTTCTCTGGGTCTTAGGAGGATCCCAGACTTGCATTAAGCAAGTGGGAGTTATTGGTTTTATTGTGCTCTTGGAATAAGACGATGAAACAATAAAATCATTTTCTGAATTTCATAAATAAGGTTTTATTTATTTATTTTGCGCACTATTTACAAACATAAAGGTCCGGATCAAATTGTGGAGTATATGATCATATGGATACGTTCATGGAGGACATGATCATAGGATCTCACAATTGATGAATGGAGTCACAGCCGTTAAATAAAGTTGGGCACTTTATTCAGGCTGCAATATTTTATGAAATGATTTTGTCCGAATCATTGTAAAATATTGGTGTGAGTTAACATTCACATTGAAAGGATCAATGAGAGATTTGATTAAGGTTGTTTTTCTGTCATAAGGTATCAAATCTCCAGTTAACTATAGTTATGGGATTGCTCTTAATCCTGAGTTTATTATAAATAGGTAATCAAATAGTTTTCATTCTTTGATTTACCAACGGGTGAGGTTCGATCTATTGACGGCCAATAACTCGGTATTTTGGGAGTGAGATTATTTGATTATCGGTATTTATGAGATAAACAACATGGAATTTGTAGGATATGTCCCCTTGATATGTTTCGGTACTTGGATATTAAAGACACTGGCCAGTGCATGTAATCCATTAGAGAAACTATCATAGTCAAGGGAATAAATAATTGATTGAGTTACAGAAAACTTGTCAATCAATTATAGACATTCTACAAAGGGGCGATGCATATTCATGTTATAAGTGTTGTTAATCTTGGAGTTCAAGTTCGGGCTTTTAGTGGAGTAGCACCGAATTAGATAATCATTTGTTGATTATCAGGAGCCTTGATTAATAACAGATGGTAGATCCCCAAGCTAGCTTGAGACAAGGGATGGGGTACTTTTCGGATAGACGATGACTTATGGGTTACATGATCTTGGGTTTTACGACTCAAGTTTGTATCCAAAAGAGCAAGTGGGAGATTGTTGGGTTTGCTCTTTTACTAAAGCCCAAATGGGTTATTAGTATGAGAAGAGCCCAAGGAACCTAGAGCCCAATGAGCTAGGGTTTCTTGGAACCCATATAAATAGTACCTCTTAAGTATCAGCCTAAAAAAAAGGTCTCTTTTGTGAGAAAGAGGTAAGCTCAGAATCTAATCAGTGCCCACACACTTCCCCTTCCTCCTCGAGATATAGTTTGGAAGATCTGCCACAGTCCTCCTTCAAGGAGGTTGTTCGTGCTGCGGCGCTGAGGTGAGCTGTTCGTGAAGAGGAATCCTACAAGGGAAGATTCTACATGAGACCTGCGCACCGAGAGGTAATTGTGAAACAAAGATGATTCGGTAAGCATACCAATGTACTAGGTCCTAAACCGCTTCCGCATAAATATAAGATTTCCTACCGCTCATGATGCTGTTATGTGGATCAATCCGGTGAGAGGTGCTGCACCTTCCCTAGCACTAAATAAAAAGTTTTGCCACGCACACGTACAAACTAATGTTTAATAAAAAAAATTAAAAAGGAATTTTTTTTTTCAAAAAAGAAAACTACATTAGTTGACGCACTAATATTTTAACCTGTAAATTAGACTTTCGGATTAATAAAAATAATTAGTGTTTTTTATATGGTAAGGATACGCTAATAAAAGTATACATTACTCATATTTTCTTTTCTTTCTCTTTTTTTTATATGCTTCACATGAATTTCACAATCTTATATATGTAGGAGATAAATTTATCTTCTATATGAATCAAGTGCTATGTAAATATCATTTGTGATTTTGAGTGAGTGGTCTTGCGGATCACATTTTTGACTAAGTCAAACCATGGAAAGGGTTAGTGCCTTAGTGGAGAAGCCGTATTATGCCATTTGAAGATGATGTGCTCCCACCACAATTTGGATCCGGTTTTCCACTTTTCCTCCAACCATTTTCTTTCATGGATTTGTTTCTCACGTAAAGCTCTCGATCTATATGGATGGAGGCCTACACAACTTCATAAAACTTGAAGCTCATTTGCCAGTTAACTGTAATGGCTGGCTTATGTTTTCCATTCCAAAGGATAAGCTAATGTTTCATTTAGTAAATAAAGTGAGGAGTTTATATATCTTATGTCACTGCACAACAAAATTTTCCACAGCAAGAGACAATAAAGAAAAGAGATAAAGTGAAATGAGAAAAGAAAAGAAAAATTATAAATCTCATAACTTTATTGTCTGTGTTGCATAAACTTTCTTGGTGCAGTAATATAAAATAGGATTTGGATCCTCTCATATAAAAAAAGTGATGATCATATTGTTTGATCATAATCACTCATTTTCACTCATTAATCATGAGATTAAGAGAGAAAAAGTGTACAAACCCCCTAAAGTAATGATTCTTTTTTGTTCAGTCCATTTCCCGTTACCCTATTTTCTTTCCTTTTATTTTCTAAGGATAAGCTAATGTTTCTTTTATGCTCATTATGTTTCACGTTAACCTATTTTCTTCCTTTTATTTTCTCTCATTCAAACCAAAATTTATCATTATATTCACCGAACCTGTAAAATTGCTTACCTACAGCCAAGCCTCCAATCTGAACTCCCACATGTAGCAACTTTTATAAGCTCTTCGATACCAAAAAAAGTTTGTATAAAAATGGGTTATTTGAAAATGTATGAAAAATTAGCTAATTTATGGTAGGAATATACTTTTTGTCCTTTAACTTTATTCTACATCTCATTTGAGTTTCAAATGTTTTAAAATCCACCAAATTCAATCTAATGGTCAGAAATTCAAGTATGATGGACTTCAATATTGATTAATAACAGACTAAGTTAAAATTATATACGTGGGATAATCTATAGCCCATGAACTCAATATTTTGGATCCACTTATCAAAGCTGGTTTGATGATTATTCTCTTTGGCTTCCGCAGTCATGAGTGCAAAATTGATACATATAGCTAGGATTATTTGAAAATGAATGAGAAATAAGGCAATTTATGACAAGAATATACTTTTGTCCTTTAACTTTATTCAAGATTTCATTTAAGTTTCAAATCTTTTAAAATATACCAAATTCAAGTGATGGAGTTCAATTTTGATTGATAATGGACTAATATCAGATTATATAAGTTTGAAGATGTATAAACTTAATATTGTAAGATTTGGCATCAAAATATAATGTCCGGCTCATATATTATAGTTGATGTAACTTAATTCATTAGTGATAATTTTCTAGTGCTTCGCCAACCGCTCATGATACATTATGCTAGCATGAATGGGAAATTGGTACACATAACATAACTAGGATTTATTAAATAAATAATTGATGGTACTAATTTGTTGAATCATGAAAAAAAATGAAAATGAAATGATATAATTGTAAAAATAAATTAAATTAAATTAAAGTTAAGGAATAAAACAAGATTTTTATACTAAAAGTGTTAGCTAATATAATTAATGGGTTTTATTAATCTCCTTTTGCATAAGATGGGTATCTTATGTTGTAGAGAGAAACTGGGTGGGTCCCACAATTACAAGAAAAAAGAAAAAGAAAAAAAAAAGTGAGGTACGAAAATCGAAGTGAGAGAAAATGAGATAAGTTACCCCATGTAAAAGGAGAGTAATATTTCCCATAATTAATTCAACTGGAATTGATCTCAAAGGATCTACGACTTACCAAGCGATGGTAGTTTAGTTAGTGCATGAAAGCCGAGCAAGTAGAGGTAAACACATGTGTTCAATTTTTTTCAGTATCATTTTGGAAGAAGTTTAAAGATTTAATCCTGGATCCGCTTCGAACTCAATATTAGTTCATAAAAAACTTATAAAATTACACGCACGATACTCTAAAAAAAAGTACCTTCGACTTTTCCTAAAATAATTTTGTGTTTAACCTTTTTTGTACGTTAAAATGAACTGTGATTTTTATATAGATTGTTTATTAAAAATAACATTAAATAACATCTATAATTTAAACAAATTAACTTAATAAACTTCATAAGACCGCCTTGGTGATTTTTCTAAATGTACCGTACCAATATGGCGATGTGCTTTTAGATAGCTCCATAGACTAAATTGAAATGTCGATATCCTAACTATACTTTTTTTCTTTGAAAAAAAAAAAGTCTTAAACATTTGTTATAGACTAATTTAGTTCAATTTTTAGCTATCAATATGTGTGAAAAGAATATCATTTAATGGACAAATAAAAAAGTTCAAAAAGAAAAAGAAGTATAAAACATAAAAAAATTTCTTTTTCTCTCCTAACTTTTTCTCTCTTTGTCCAAATTTTTTTATAAAATTATCAAAATCGTCCCAATCACTATTTCTACCAAAAAAATAAAAAAAATAAAATAAAAAAATTTATAATTGGACATGCCAATTGTGTACTTACGTCTACATAGCATGCCAAGTCAACAAATTCCATTAATATTTCTAACAACGTTAGTGGTTAGGACAAATTTGGGTGGTTTTGGAAAAATATAAATGTGGAACAAAAATGAAATTTAAGTAAAGTTAAGGAGCAAAAAATATATTTTGCCTTTATTTATTTTGTGTGTGAAGGTTTTACATAGCCCATTGTTATGCGTAAGCTGTTATGCAGTTGTAGAGAAACTTTACTTGAATAGTTGAGCTTCGGTTACTCTGTTAGTAATCGTAGGTAAATTTAGCTGTCCAATTTAGTTTGTTAATCAGTTTAGGACGTTGGAATAGTTGTTGTAACTAGACTTTCAGCAGATTGCAGGTTTATCTGTCTCACTGTCTGTATACAAGAAGATGCTACATAATGCAATAATCATTAAAAATAATACATCAAAATTTGTTTCTGTACCTTCGTTTTCTGACTTTTGCCAGCGCTCTAACACCCACCCTAGCATAAGGGGGTGAAAAAAGCGTTTACATGATGATGTTATGCATGTGATTATGTGCTATGACATTCAAGATATGTTTTCTACCTGGTGCAGAAGGAAATTATCATGCAATTTATATCAAAAGTAGAGCAAACTTCATTAGTATTTTTTATGTTTAGCTTTTACCATTTGTGTAACAACAAACAGAGTGATACAACTATAGCAGGGAAGCTATACTTCACAACAAAACAACCGGAAAAAATAATAATAATAAGAATCATTATACATTCTAAGACAAAGAATACCTCCTCCATCTTTGATCTTAAGAAAGCAGCAACATGAAACCCAACGGCAAGAAGTGTACGCTGTGACAACAGAAATTGCAACTCCAGCAACTAACAACAGCGGCCAACAAGCTCATAAACTTTTTGTTTATAATAATAATATGGGGAAACGGGGAACAAAAACCATGGAGTCCCAAACCCACTAATATACTGGTGTTGTCTTCACCTGTCAAAAGAAACATTCAATCCTGGCTTAAAATTTCCCCCATTTGGAAACACTAAAAAAGGCATTGCAAAGTAACTAGCAATAAACATCAATCTTCCATAGATTTTAATTACATGCATTTCAAATCTTCTTCTACCATCATAAATATCATAGACAAAGAAACATAATGCAGACGGACAATTTTATAAGCAAAAGAAGAATACAAAGTAGCCATATCTAAATGATGTTACAATACATTTCATAACAGTAATTGACAGAATGGTCCATATATTGCAGGGCCTGCTAGAATATATATGAACATCCTTCCCTCATAGCCAGATATATAATATTATTGGAGAATAGCCAAATCTGATTCCAAACATTCTTGTATGTGTACCACATATAAACATTTTCCATCTCTAATAGTTTTCAGTATTCTGTTGATTTCTGGTTCTACTAAACGTAAATTTCCCATGTTTGTGAAGGTTATTGTAAACATAGATACTAAGAAATAATAGGCGTGATATCCATTAATCTATCTAACCCAATAAATATCTTTATAACTGTGGTAGTTATAGCAAACAATGAAGCAAGAAGAAGGACATACCAAGATTGAGGGGAAATTTTGAACTACAAAAGATGTTGACATGTCAGAGTTATGACAAACCTTGATGAAGACTGAAGACTAAAGAATGGAAGTGCCAGGAAATCCTGTAAACACATTTGAGTAGGACTTTGTCAAATATGAAAAGTTATTGATAGGAGGCAGTGAAGGTACCCTTTCTCCTTTCTTCAAAAGTTCTTGCAAGTTAAGTCTTTGCAAGGTCAAAACAGCCCTTGACTCCTTCCAAATGAAGGCAAGGACACCATTTTGAAATACAAAGAGGGAACCAGGCTTTGATCCAGGGTATCTGAACCCATAACCATTTGCAATACCCTCTGCTCTAAAAGCATGCTTGATATTCAAAGAAAAGGAGTCCATATCAGTGTCCAAGGGAAAGGGTTCAGATGAAGGCTCATTGATATTCACTATAAACATCGCTGAACCATTAGGATGCAAGACATATTGAGTGCCTTCCAATATTTTTGTTGCAATAAGAAGCTGTTGTCCCTCAGACTCCTCATAAGAGAGTAGAAGAAAGAATAGAGCCTTTCCAGGTTTGTCTTCAGAAGGTTTTCCAGGAGGCCAACCAAAAGTTCCTCCCCATAAACCAGCATAAACTTGGTCCTCTCTCGGAACTCGCAAGGGCATCTTGTAAAGTGCAAACCAACTGTCATGCATATTTGGCCATGCTCGATACGAAGATAATTTTGCAGTTGAAGCCTTTAATGTTAGCCTTGTTTTGTCACTTGATCCAAGAAAATCTTCAAGCCGCGCATGCTTTGTCTCAGGGCTTGAAGTAAGCTTCTTGAAAATAGCATGATTGTCATTAATTGATCTAGATCTTCCAATAATCTGTTTAAAGCTACCCCAGAAATATCCACCAAAGCTTTTTCTCTTGATGTGTTGTGTGCGCCCATCCTCTTTGTGTGAAGAATCAGAGAAAGCCATTGAACAGTCAAAACTCTTTCTCATGTCATCCAGTTTTAATTGCATAGGACCAATTGCCTCTTGAGAATTTTCCTTCTTGTCAATCTGACTACTACCAAGCTTATACATTTGACTAAGAAGGGCCCTTCTTTCCCTTAAGAGCACCAAATCTTTCTGATAGCCGTCATAACCATCCCTTAATCTAGGAAACAATGGTCCAATTCCCATAGTAGGATCCTCTTGTCGAACTTGGCTAGTAGTGACCTCAAGTAACTTCCTTCTATCACTAAAAGCCAACTTGCTGAAGGGAACCATTCCCTCATTATTTCCAACAACCCCTTGTAACCTAGAATGTTCACTGTTTGACCTACAAACCTTTCTTGACAACTCCACATCAGAGTGAGGGGGTACAAAGCTCCTATTCTGCAACAAAGTACTACCACAATCTTGTTCGCTGGGTTCAACCTCAAGCAATAGAACATTGCAAGATTTATCTACGGACTTGACTGAGCCATGATAAACATAGTCTACTCCATCTTCCCTTCCATGGAGAAAAAAAGTAGTTGAACCATCAAAATCACCAATAACTTCAAATACAGGTGCCCATAGGATAGAACCATCTTGAATCCCTAGTGGACCAAGCTCCTGAGGAATTATCCTGCACCCAATAACCGAAACAAAACCGGGGATAACATAGACAAGGTTACCAAGCTCAGGATTCTGATAAACCCATATTCCAAGCAATGGTCGAACACTGAGAAGGAAACGACAAAGTGCCTTGTAAGATGACACACCCTCACGCCACTCAACAAGGTCTTTGAGGGGCACCATGCCCACCATGTCACATTGAGTGAGCCACACTTTTTCAGAGGCTGCAAGAGCATATAGACTCCTGCAGCAGAGACTGAGATTGCACACATCTCTGGGCAAGAGGAACCGTGACAACATGGCAAGTACATCTTCAGGTAGACAAAGAAGCAAGCTTGACTCACATGAATCATGTAACAACATAATGAACCTAACCCCACTAAAATTTGATGATAAAAAATTGAGCTTTCGAGGTCTAACAAACGTAAAATGTCAAACAAGTGAATTGGGTTGTCTCAGATATTGAAATTACCTTTCGATTCTGAAACGGTTGAAAGGCGTTTGTAGCGGAAAAGAAAACTCTTTAGAGTTCCAATATGGTGTAAGAAAGCATAAGTGAAGTGAAGATTGGAGATTAAGGGGAAAGTAGCTAAGATTTAGAGATTGGTCAAGTCAACCCACTCGACCTCAAACAATTCCATAATTGAAGCCAGCACTGCCATTCATCTGTCACTTTGACTGTGACAAATTCACAATTGATGAATTGCCAACTCACTTTGAACAGGATCATAGGTTGCGTCAAAAAGTTTTTCATCTTAGTTTTTCATTAATTAATAATTAAATTTAATAATTTTCTTATAATTAATTAAAAATTAATACCCTAAAATATAAGTATACTATTAATTAAATTAAATTACTGATTAATTAATATAGGAATTCAAATACAAAATAAAATTTTAACCTACATTTATAAATTATTTTAAATTGGGTTAATCCAAACCCAATCGTAAAAGATATTATTATTGATTATTTAACACACAGACGCACAAATCCGTTTTTAAATAAGTGAATAATGTGTATCATTTTAAATAATATAAAGTTGTGTCATTTTAAGTGAGAGAAAGAGATAGATAAAAGAAGAGAGAAAGTTGACAAAAAAAAATATAAAAGTGTGAATTTCACCTCTCTTATGAGAGTAAAATGACACAAACACTATTTCCAAACAAATTTATTAAAATTACAAATTCTATTCTTCTTCTTCTTCGTGATTTTTGGGTCCACGGTTCAGATGTTCAAAGCCGGCCCATAATCTATGTCTGTCCATAGAAGTGAAATCAGACCCAACAGAGAGTAGAGACCTTCATATCAAGGCCAACCCATTGTTCCTATAACTACACAAATGACATACCCAACATCCACCTAGAAGAAAACCACCTCGCTATTGGAAGAAAATTACCTCGAAGCACAGCAACTTCTGTTCATATAAGACTTATGTTTTTTCTTTTCTTTTCTCTTTCCATTTTAGTCTGTTTGTTTCCCTTTTGTTACTTTCTATTCCACTTACTTGGAAACCAATATGTCAAGTCTAACGTAACCTGTTTTATAGGTTATAAATTGATGAAGTTTATGTCATGATTTATGTGCAAATATGTATATTTTATAGGTAAAGGTTTTTTCAGATAAATTATCTCTGGTAAGCTTAAAATAATTTTGTTTTGTGGCAAAAAAATAAAGTATTTTTGTAATTTTAATTTATTACAAGGTTATATTAATCTTTATGATTATAATTTTTTAATCTTATAACTCAAAACAATGTCATTTTATATTCATTATAGATGATTTTATTTCCAAGAAAAATACTTTTCCCATATTTTATTGGGTGTTACAAGTGAGAACTGACTCGGTCTAAGTGAAAAAGATTGCTTATTAACTCTTATCATAATCTTTGAAATTCTTGTTCTTTATTTGCATGGTCATGATTTTACGTTTTACTTACCAGCTGTCAGAATTGAACTTTGTTGCCACGCGTCTTACGAACCCCTCCCCTCCCCCCCTTTTTTTTTTGCAGGGAAGCTCCAATTTCACGTTAGTATCTCACTATCTCATTTAATATTTCTAAAGATATTAGCAATTAAGAAAATATTTATGTTTTTAAAAGATTTAAGACAAAATAAACATAATATAACTGTGGGATAAAAATAAAACCTATAGCTAAAAAGTATTTTTTAAAATAATAATCTCGTGCGTTCATATCTAATTTATGATATGTCATTTATTTTAACGAAAATCCGAATGTTTTCACACAAGCTTTGGATTTATTTTTTTATTTTATTTTTTGGAATTATATTTGGGCTATTAATTTCAAACATCCTGATTTTAGGAAGAGTTCCCATGCAAGAGCAACATAGATTTTTTTTTTCAAGAAAAAAACTATATCTTAAATGAATTAAATTGCATTTTTTTCTCATAAATTTTTTCATTAAGATTGTCATTTCTATTCATCAACGAAAGTACATATTCGACACATTATACAATAGAACAACTGTATCAAAAAAAATAAATTGTTGATACTATAAATATAATGAGATATAAGAATCTAATTTATTTTTAACATTGAAGATATAAAAAAAACCAACAAAGATGTTTTGCACGTTGTCTTCAATGCCCCAAAAATTTGGGGCGAGCATGATGCTATTTGTGATGAGTAGGGGTGAAATTGGGCCGGGCTGGCCTACAGGGGCCTATGGCTCGGCCTACGTTAGGTCAGACCTGATTTAGTATATTTCGTAAATCAGTCCGGACTTGGGTTTTAAAAGAGCTCGTTTAATAAAAAGGTCGTAAGCCCACTTTCACAAGGCCTGGCCTATAAGCCTACAGGCCGATCTATATTGTACTATTTATTTCAAATCAAATAAAACAGAATAAGTATGCCTTGAAGAAAAAACAAAAGATATAAATTTAATCAATTGCAATTATTTATAACTTAATTATATTCGATTATATTTTAATGGAAATTTGATTTTATTTCTTATGTAGGAAGAATCAACATCTCAGCATATTAGATTGTGTATATGAATATATTAAATGGTTTTTGGGAGATATTATACTTACTACAAGCATTATGATGTGTTTGTTGGATTCACGTAGTTATTTAGTTTACCTAGTATGGATTTTTTTGTTGGATCTGATGAAATATATGTTATTTAGTTTGAGCATTTTGCTTTTGAAAGTGACTTAAATGTAGATTGTATGAGTTTTGTTGTGATTCATGATTCTGTTTGGACGTTGAAATTATGATTTTTGATTTAACAACATAATTTGAATATTGTGTAAAGTTGATTCATGGTTCTACTAAAAATTAACAGACTAACGGACTAGGTCATGCCATTTGTTTTTTTATAAACGGGTCAAGTTAGGCTAACAGTTAAACTCGTACTAGGCTTGGGCCAGACCAAATTAAAAGTTTTTGACATAGGCTTAGACTTTTCGGGACAAAGCTTGGCCCAGCCCAGCCCACTTTCACCCTAGTGATGAGGACCATGGATCGCGCATAAAATTTTATCTGTTGCTTAAATTGGTTACAGGTAAGCTGAATAACAGGTTATGTTTATCAATTATCATAATAGATGGGGTTTTTTTCTTCGATACTCCTTGAAAACTTGGGTGCCATTCATGCTAGCTAAGCCATTGAATTTGTTGACATGACTGAGATCAATAACTTGTAAACTATTCAATAAGTTACTACTTACTATGTAGAGTTTTGAATTACAAAATTGGTCCGTAGAAAAAATAAAAATTCGTTTTAGGGATTTGTAGACAAATATTTCACTTCCCTCGTCTCTCATTCATTTGATTAGTTTGTCTTGTGATTTTGAATATTCATTGGAAACTTAACTTTTTTATTCAAGTGACTAAAGTCCTTCCTTGTGATTTTTCAGTTGCAAGGATGGCATAAATTCCTCATGATTAAACAGTTTCTGAAGATTAAAGTTGAACAAGGGATCAATGTGTATAGAAAGGTACGGGGTTCACATCATATTGGAGAAAAATGCGAAAAAAGGGGTTAAAAAAAAGATGGATCCCACATTAAAGTGACGTTTATTCTTTTATTTTTTTTCGAGTCAAAGTGACATTTAGTTCCTTCGACTTGAATGACATGACCTTTTTTTTTTTTTTGGTACATGAATGACATGACCTTTAACATCCATTATTCCTCACAAAATTTTATTTTAGATGACACGCCATACAATATCTCACGTAACTTTCGAATGTAACGGGTTATTATATGCTAATGGGGTAGTCTATTTCGTACTTTATTAATATTTAATCCATTTTCGATCAAGGTTCCTATTTTGAAATGTTCAAGACAGGCCTATGGACTATGGTCCCAAATATTAATTTCACAATTCATGGAGGCAGATTCATCATCGTATTCAATTTTGATATTTGTTTTAATATTATTTTTTAAAGTTATAAAAAATATCTTAATAATATAATAATAAAAAAATCCTAGTTACTTTAGGAAATCATTTTAAGTCATTAGAATTAAATTAATATTATTCTTAAAAATATAAATTATTATAGAGAATAATTTTTTTTAATTTTATTTGCCACTTAAAAAAAGAAGTCATTATTTTTTTTCTTTTAAACTTTAACATTATATCTTAATATCTCTATATATAGTTACAAAAATGTATTACTTAAATCCTTTGTGGTCTTATATATACAAATTTTTTATTTTCCCTAATTTTATCATAAATTATTACGGTATTATCAATTAAAATCATAATATAATTAGTATTAAAGATTAAACTAAAAATTGTCTAAAAAAATTATTTAAAATTTGTACTAAAAATTTAAAAATATTATTCGAGACAAATTTAAAATATATTTTCTTAAAAAAATTAAGTTAAATTTGAATAATCATTTTTTTTTTTACATTTATTTTAATTGAAAATAGTATAATAATAGGGGATAAAATTAAAGGAGAAAAGGTTTGGTGTGAATTTTTTAAGATAAAAGTAACATAAATTTTTTAAATCTATTTTAATTTATTTTATTTAAATATATATTTAAAATAATATGCTTTTAATTTTTTAAATAATATTTTCAAATTTGAAGATATATTTTAAATAATAACTAATTTTTAAGATGATTTTAATATTAATTTTCGATAATTTTAAATTTAATCTTCAATGTTTAATTGTTCTTAATAATAAGTATGGAGTGGAGAACACACATAAGCTACCCCTTTAACTACATATGGGGGGGGAAATATGTATAAAATCACAAGAATTTAAGTAATATATTTTTATAACTGAAATGGGTTCAAGTAAACTATATAGGGATTGGGTGCTACAGCAAGTAACACGTGAGATAAAAATGAAGCTTTCCCAAAAAATTTATCTAATCACCATTCTTAACTCAAAATAATATGAGCAACTAGAAATTGATTAAATTCAATTACATTTATGAAAAAGATACTACTTAATATAAATAAATATAGGCAATCCCAACGAGTTTCCTTACATACTTGTTAAGGATTTAAAATAAATAGTATTAAATACAAAATAAAACTTATTACAGCACCTCATTATAAGAATTTTCTGGTAATAAATAAACAACATCATATGCAATTGATGTGGAACAAGTCTTTAAAACTTGATTCTAGAAGAAGTTATATTAACGCGAAAGCAAAACCCAATCAATCAGGTAACGAACGATCTAACCAACGGTTAAGATTAAAGGTGTAATCTCCATGTGTAGCCGAGAAGCAGCGTAACACTTCAGCAGAGTCAGTTCGCCACTGTTGATCCTCCAACAAAGATTCCTTTTCACAATGCCCAACAACAACACACAGTGCTCACAGAAAGAGAGAATAGAGACTCCGGCGATGAAGTTAACCGGCGACGGCGGTGGAGGTCGAAAGTTCCTGGTTGGTGTCAAGTTGGATTCTCGGAGCCGGGAACTGCTGACGTGGGCTCTCGTCAAAGTTGCCGAGCCCGGCGACCTCGTCATTGCGCTCCACGTCATCGACACCATTACCGGTAACTCTCTCTCTCTCTCTCGATTTTCGGTTGTTTATGGAACGTTCTAGAATGTAGACTATTTTTTTTTTTTTTTTTTTTGGGTGCAGACGCAGAGGATACAGGTTCAGCTTCGGTGCTCTCTGTTGTTAAGACTTTTGATTCTGTTTTGGCTGTGTACGAAGGCTTCTGCAACTTGAAGCAGGTTCAACCTATATATCTTATCTTATCTTGCATTTCTTATGAGTATTCTTAGGTCGTTGAGAACGCAACTGTTAAAAACAACTCAAGCTCTTCATGTCTTTTTTTTTGTCTTTTTTTTGAATTAGGTTGATCTGAAGCTTAAAGTGTGTAGAGGTGCGTCAGCAAGGAAACTTGTAGTGAAGGAAGCGAAATCGCTTGGTGTTGCGACGGTGATTCTAGAAACTTCTAAGAGCTATCACCCTATCCGTTCATCTTTATATGTTGCCAAGTACTGTGCAAGGAAATTGCCCAAGTGTATCTCTGTTTTAGCAGTTCACAATGGCAAAGTTGCATTCCACAGAGAAGCTACTGGAATGTGTACTCTTCAAGGTTTTTATTAATTTGCATTGTGTGTTTTTCTTCACTTTGGTTGAGGTCTAATAGTTGAAATCATTATGTTTGCTACCTTTATGTTAAATTTGTGGATTTTTAATTTTTTTAACTTTGGAATGATACAAAAGGTTACTACTACCTTGGCAGGAAAGTTAAATGAAAGCCCAGCATTGTTAAACAAATATTTGGCTGTTAAAATGAAGAAAAATCTGAAGAATTGTGAATGTTGTACACGGGTATTAGCATTGCCGGAGGATTCTGCAACTAAATTGAAGCCAGGGTTGACTGATGATGGTTTTGAAGAGGAAAATTCACTGGCTTTGGTTCCAATTCAAAAGCTTGATGATGATGATGATCCTAGTTATTCAATCGCGGTGGACAAATCAAACCAGTCAACAGCTGGTTGGTCACTCCTTCGCCAGGTGTTTCTTCCCAACAAGCATATGCGGAAATCTTTAGGGAAAAATTCACCTGCTTTGCAAACGGCATTAAGACAAACCAGCTACCATTCTTCAGCTGTTGTCCATCCAGATCACAAACAGAATATTCACCGGAATTATGATTCCACCCTAGATGGGGAGAGTGGTATCATTTTGCCATTTGGATCTGATGATATTTTTCCTCCTCCCTCCCTTGGCCGTGATTTGAGTGAACTTCCTAAAGAATTGTTGGGTTTACAACAGAAGTACTCATCTTTAAGCAGATTATATAGTTTCCAGGAACTTGTATCTGCAACTGCTAACTTCTCACACGGTTTGTTTTCTTCACTCCACCTTTCTTTTCCCTGTTTTTATTCTGGCCACTTGCTTGTAATAAATATGTTTTTTTGTTACGGTTTCAGAAAATTTGGTTGGAACAGGTGGTTGTAGTGAGGTTTATAGAGGATGTCTTCCAGATGGCAAGGAATTGGCTGTAAAAATTTTGAAGTCATCTGAAGTTGTGATAAAAGAGTTTGTTCAGGAAATTGAGATCATTACAACTTTGCATCACAAGAACATAATATCTCTATTGGGCTTTTGTGTTGAGGGCCATAATTTACTACTGGTTTATGATCTTTTATCAAGGGGAAGCCTAGAAGAAAACCTTTATGGTAGATATTTATTTGCCCTTTTCTGCTAGGAATTACTTAAATCTTTATTTTCTCCAATCTGTCTTTCTTACTTGTGTTTTCTGGCAAAGGCATCAGAAACGACTCTGGTGCATTTGGTTGGCAAGAGAGGTACAAGGTGGCTGTGGGTGTAGCTGAGGCATTGAACTATCTGCATAACTGCTGTACACCTGCTGTGATCCATAGGGATGTGAAATCTTCAAATATCCTTCTTTCAGATGATTTTGAGCCTCAGGTGCTGTGAATTTTTTTCCCCATGCTTAGTTACATTCTGTTACTTTGTGAAATTTCTTCAAATTGATTTCATTTCTCCCTTTCTTGTGAGCCACGTGTCTATGTCTTCAGCTGTCGGATTTCGGACTGGCTAGTTGGAGTTCTTCTTCATCCCATAGTAGTTGTACTGATGTGGCCGGAACTTTTGGGTATGTAACATGTCCTCTTGTTCCTCCTTTGCCTTCTTTAGCATTCGATTCGTTTGAATTGCTCTGAACAATTTTTTTGTCTGGCAGATACCTAGCTCCTGAATACTTTATGCATGGTAGAGTGACTGAGAAAATTGATGTATATGCTTTTGGTGTTGTACTTCTTGAGCTTCTCTCTAGTAAGAAACCAATTAACAATGACTGTCCTAAGGGCCAAAAGAGCCTTGTTATGTGGGTAAGTTTTGTGTGTTAATAATTTCAGCATCTACAATTGTCACAAAAAGACTGTTTATAAAATAAATGAATCGTGTGCTGATATATAAACTAAACATCCTACGGCAAATGGATTGTAAGAATTGGAAGTAAATGTGGTTGATGGCAATATCCAGGCAATACCAATTTTGAAGGGTGGGAAGCTTTCCCAGTTGCTTGATCCAAGCCTAGGCAGCGATTACAACCATTGCCATATCGAAAGAATGATTTTGGCTGCTAGTCTTTGCATTAGACGAGCATCTAGATTGCGACCTCAAATCTGCATTGTAAGTCTTGCCTGTGCAAATTTAATCCATTTTTTTTTTGTCCTGCCTTAATGTTCCTTTAAATGTTGGTCGTGTTTCATAATTGCAGATATTGAAACTCCTACGTGGTGATGAAGAAGTGAGAAGTTGGGCAGAACAAGAAGTTGGTGCATCACAGGAACTTGATGGATTTGATGAGGAACCAGTGCCATCTAATATTCAGTCCCATCTGAACCTTGCTTTGCTGGACTTGGAGGATGATACAGATTCTATCAGTAGCACTGAGCAGAATGTCTCATTGGTGGACTACTTGAGTGGAAGATGGAGTCGCTCGTCAAGTTTTGACTAAGCATTTCATCATGATACTATGTACTTGGAAGCAAATGCTCCTTTCATACCGTCCGTAAATATTATTTTGTTTTCTTAGGTTAGTTTTTCAAAATTATGAGGCAGTGCAGATTGGGTCTTGGAAGACTGTTCCCAAAAGTTTAGGGGCTATGTATCAGTTCATATTTCCATTGGATGGTTTTAATCTGAATCTTCGCATTATTGAGCAAATTCTAGTGGGCCAAATGTACATGAACTAGTAGATATGAGAAAAGTACGAAGAGTAAATATTCCTTAGTGATGTTAGCCTCTGTCTTCTTGCTCAAAATGTTTTAGCGTCCATTGTCATCTAGTGCTCTATTATTAATCTTTCTAACTATAATTAAAAAAAAAAATTCAACGCATAATGGATATGTCAAGGAATATAAAAATATTTATTATTCATTGTTTTTTGGTAAACTTTATTAACTATTTAATGAAAAATATAAATATTTTTTAAAAAATTATAATATTCAATGTTTGTATTTTTTATTTAATATTAAATATATTTTTATTTCTTAACTTGTGTCTTAACAACACCTTAACAAAACCTATTATAAAACTAAGGATAAATTACCCTTTAATTTTCTTCATAGATGTTCAAATTATAGTTTTTTTTTTATTTTGAAATATTATATTCTCCTTTTGAAAAATAAAAATTAATATATATTACATTTTAATATATATGTTGGTGACATGAGGTGAGTGGATAAAAATGGGCATGTGTGGTACTCTGTTTTAAAATGCAGTTGGGGTGGCGAAGGAGAAAGGTTCTACATAATAATAATGGGAAATTATACTCTTATGTTACATAAGAGTCCTATCTCATTTTACACTCACATAAAAAGACGTGCCTCTTTTTTCTTTCTTTTTTCTTTTTTTAAAAATTGATGGGTCCCACTTAATTTATCTCACAACATGAGATAGCTTCTCTCATACAACATGAGAGAAGTAAAACCCAATAATAATACTATATGGAGAAAGATATACTTATCACCAAAAAAGTTTATCACATTTACAATTAATTTAATCACTGTTGATTTCCGTCAATCTAACGGTTATACTTTATTGGAAATTATTGGGTTGTACTTATAAATTAATTATTAATTCTTAATAAATTATAACCGTTAGATTGACGGAAATCAACGATGATTAGATTGGTTGTAAAAGTGGTAAACATTTTTTGTGATAAGTATACCCTGCCTCATATTATATATATATATGGAAAAATATTTGTCCATTTAAAAAATATAACTTTATATCATTTTAGATACCAACCATTAATTTTCGTCAATCATTAGGATTAAAAAAACATAAAGTTAAATCCTTTAGAAGGATAAATATTTTTCCCATATATATATATATATATATATATATAGGAGAAGGGTCAGGATCATTTTACACCAGTATAAGTTACACTTTTAATCTTGTCTGTTAATCTCATTTATATCTAAGGACTCAATTTTTTTAGTAATATGAGTCATTGGATACAAGTGGATTAATGGTCAAGATTGAGGGTAAGATTTTTAAGTCTTACACCGGTGTAACATAGGGGAATGTTATACTTACAATCTATTTTCGTTTACAACTTCTTACAAGCATATCTTAACCGTTGATTTTCGTCAATCAACGGTTATTATTTATTGCGAATTAATAATTAATTAATAAATTTGTTTTGCGAAAATCTTAACCGTTGATTGACGAAAATCAACGGTTAAGATATGGTTGTAAGAGATTGTAAAGGAAAATAAATTATAAGTATAACTTTTCTTTTATATATATATATATATATATATATATATATATATATATATATAACATTATTCATTTAAAATTATGGACAATTTTTACAAATTAAGTTTTGATGGGAAACAATAGTTTTGTCACCCTTCTAATTCGAAGTAGCTTTATCAGTAAACCGGTGAAAAAAATAAAATAAAAACTCATTTCTATTTTTCTTTCCTCTTCCATCCAAATTCCCAATGCAGTCTTGGTGAGAGTAATTGATATATTAACAATTTCAAATTCACAATACATTGATCTTAACCGACAATCTTCAACTAGTAGATTTCGACAAAACCATTTTCTACTAAGCAAAAAACCTGAGGAAATAGCTCTATTACTTATATGTTCCCTACAAATAAACTATACGTTCAACACTCTTTGAAATTCATCAGTAAAATCATCTAAATCAGCAACGTCTCTTTCTTCCATCTTCAGTTTAGCGAGCTCTAAATTCAGCTCCGCAATCTGTTTTCGTAGTTTCTCCCCATTGTCTGGTAATTTAGAAATCATCACCTGCGTAGGTTTAAACGGGGATACTAAAGTCAGTCCACTATAAGTTAACGACAAATGCTAGTCATAGTTTTTTTTTAACTCTATTATGAGTTGAAATCTTATACTAATCTTACTAGTAGAGAGTAAGCTAATTAGTGAGCCCAGTTAAATGGATCAGCCGGTCCTATTAGGTCCTAACCTGTGTATATTACAGCTAAAAAGCCTACAAAACTAAATGAATCTCAATAATAAAAGCCTGTATGGACCAAAACCCTATGTGTTAGATTCAGTTTACGGGTCATCCAAAATTATAATTTCATAAAAAATTATCATATTCAATATATTAAAAAATATTTTAACAAATTATATAAGTGAAAATGTAAACGAAATTTTAATATAAGTAAAAATTTAATTACTACCATTACTAAATTCATTATTAAAGGATATCATCAAATAAATTTTTCCACCATGACTATGAGTCATAACAAAATACAACTCTAGTGGAAAACTAAAAATAACGATGAAAAATGATCTTAATACCAGTATTAAATAACTGCTTAGTATGCTATATATTTGAAAGTAAAACTATTGATTTTCTTCAACTACTACCATTACAAAAATAGAGTCACATATTATGAATCATATGAAAGGTCATCCATAATATGTTACAATAAAAATGAATTTTTCAGCAGTGATATGTTTCAACAGAGAATTTCACCTGCACATCAATAAAAATAAAATTTTCTTTTGACATATAAGCATATTATATATCCAAATTTATATTGAAACATATTGTATACAATTCACCTAAGCAATTTTGTGGATAACAATATTTAAATTTAAATTTATAAACTAAAAACTAAAGTCACATGTTATATATTTATAAATATTTAAATTTATATAATTTTTAGTATTTTAAATAATGAAATTTGTTATGAAGGAAAAAATTTAACATGCAGGTTCGCTCTAACCCAACCAGCTAAATTATAGGACTTTAAGGATTAGGACTAAAAAAGACCCTGCCACAAAAAAGGTTTTAATAAGTTATGGTCAAATATAGGACTTTGCAGGCTGATCCACGGACTTCCGGCTATTTTTACACCTCTAGCCAGCATGAGATTTACTTAATTATAGTGTTAAAAGAAGTTTCATTAGGGTATTAGGATTTAAGAATACTAACAGATAGAACTATTCTATTAGGGTAATACCCAATTCCCGCTTATTTAATCCTAGACTAAAATAAAGATATAGAAGTTGCATTCGAGTATAGAAGTTATCTGCCTCTTAGCTATGAACATGAGGTATTCATTGGAAAGCTAGATACTGGATGAGAATGCAACGTAGCTGTACAATTTAGCCACCCCAGTTGTAAAGCCTCTCAGCTATAGTCATAGTCTATGAAGCACCGATACCGACACAACATTTTTGATACGTTCCCGATACGTGACTTCGATACGTTACTTCAAAAATACTAATATTTCGATACGTTCCGATACGTCTTAGTATTAAATAATATTTTTAATATATAGAATATATTTCACATTATTTATGTATTTGTTTATTTACTAAATATGAGTACAAAATATGAAAATTAAACAGCACCCATTATTTACATTCACGTCATGTATTTGTTTATTTTAATTTTCTGCATTATTTATTTAGTTTTATTATAATTACTTGTCTTTTTAATTTTATGATATTTACCACAACAAATAATTACTTAAAAGAAGCTAAAAGTCCAAGATTAATGGGCTGTGTACCAAGCCCACCAAAACAAAGTACATGGACAAAACTTGCTTGGGCTCTCTTTTAAGAAAAATATCCATATCACTAAACCTAATCTTTACTTTCTTGAAAACCTACAACCATCTCAAGCGGCGGCTAGTTTGGGAAAGGAAGATAAAAAAAAAAAAAAAACACAATGGTGATGTGTTGTAGCAGGAAGATGAAGAAGACCGACTGACTAGCAAGATGGCTCGCACGGAGCTCTGGTTCGCGAATGACGCGGAGGAGCTCGAGGTGGGTTTGTGGTGGTGTGACGCGGCAGTTGGCTACTGGTGCGCGACGAAAATAAGAGATTTGACTGTGTCGAAATTTTGTTGACCGATCGATACGGCAAAATGGGTATCAGAAGCGTATCCGTCTGGGACGCTTGTCCGATAGGTTGGAAATTTTTTTTGGACGTATCGATGCTTCATAGGTCATAGTTATCAAATCCGGATTGTCCCGTGTCGCGACGAATCCCGAAAAAACATTTTTTAAAGACAGAGATAACAAAATTGACAGAGAGAGACCCATAGACTAAAAAACCCTTAAAAATTTTCTATTACACATTTAAATTTAAGACAAAATTGACATTTTGTCTTATGACAGCAATATGCCCGCAAATGCAATCGTAATGGTAGCTATTGCGTTCCAGTGCGACGCAGCGCGGTTTCTAGCGCGGTTTCTTGCGGAGAGACACCGCAACACCGATCCGGCGCGGCTTGCGGCGCAATTAACTACTATGACTATAGTCTAAAAGGGGAATTATTATAGCATGACAAAGAATATGATAATATATACCGGATAATATTCAGATTCAGATATAACATTATAATGAGCACGCCAATCTATTTAAGAGAAAAGCATACCGTATTTGAGAGTGTTTGTGAGAGCCGATGAATTCTATCCTTGATTTCTGACTCGGTCGATTTACCAGCACTGCTAGGAGGAGAACCTTTTTTTCTTAAATTGACATCCTTCGGATTAAATGCAAACTCAGCTCTGGTTTTTAAAAAAAGAATGAAAAATCAAATCAAAACCAAAATCATCATTTAACTTCCCAAAAATGTTGTGAAATGATAGCATCATTACCCATCAGTAATATGCTCATGTGCAGATGATATTGAAGTTCCAATATATTTAGTCCTATGACTCCTGCAACCATTTTATTAATATAGTTTTAGGTTTGATAAAGCAATTAATAACAAATTAACAGTAATTACGAACTTCCAAACAATAAGCATATTTCAAATCAGCATATTTGCCATTAACCAGCAAGCATATTCTTAACAATAGGATGTATGGATCTTCCTCATATTTCAAATTCAACGGTCAGCTTTCTGTTAGTGACATCAAATGCTTTAAGAAAATCTCAGCAATACATTGGTACAAAACAATAATAAACAAGGGAAATGAAAAATAACATTAATTGCAGCAAATTTTATTAGTTAACATTTATGAACATGCACGTAAAGTATAACCAGGTCTATGAAGCATTACTTTGTTATTTCATCATCCTCAGGAGCAGCTTGAACCGGTGCTGTCTTGGAAAAGAGTAAACTGTGGTGACTAACTCCAGCTATGCCTTGACTTTTCAGGAACTCTATATGCGCTTTGAAGGAATCATCCCTACACAAAATACAAATACTCTGTAAAATAAAAATCAGCTGATCGAGCACAATTTATGAGTTACTTTATCATATTCATAAAATTTCCAGCAGACAAGTGAAAAAACAGAATTTCAACTGTGAAATATTTATGCAGAACAACAGGTGAAAGTTTATATTAATTGAGCAAATTCAGTAAGATAATGTAAAGCACCAATTGATGTATATCACCATTTGTAAGAAAAGTTAAAGCATGTTGATAGGGTATCAAAGTTATAGACTCATTACACTGTATGTTGACGATCATGTTCCTCATCCAATTGTCGTTGGGTAACAGATACATCAAATCCTTCTTTTGGGAGGCTGAAAATATCCCTAAGATCCTGCAGGGAATGAGTGGAAGATTTACTACCCCAAATCACAACATTTTTGAAGATCTAAGAAATGTCTCTCAACACCAGATAATACTTCCCACTAAACTGGTACCTGTTGGCTAAAGTACCGAATTTGTTCTTTATGTTCAGTAGCTGTTTTGAATAATCCTCCTTTATATACCTAAAAATCGTGCAATTTGAGTGTCAAAAAAATCAATCGATGTATAATATAAACCACTTATTTTTTGCCCATTTAGTTCAATCAAAACTGTCGGATTCCTGTTTTTTTTTTTTTTTTTAAATCTCCGTTAAATTGACACTCCACAAAAACAATGGAAAGGGAAAAAATTACCTGCTTCCTGTAGATCTTTTCTTCAACAGTTCCACATGTCATCAGTCTATAAACAATAACATCTTTCTTTTGACCAATACGATATGCACGGTCAACACTTTGATTATCCGTACTGTTAAAAACAGAAAATAGTAGTTCTTTACGTGCAACATAATTGAATACCTCCCTCAAGGTCTCAAATTGGATATTTAAAAAAAAAAAAAAAACATGATAGTTCCGTGCAATCAACTCTAGCTAATTTAATCTAGGGCCAGATGCACAATATTTCCATTTCAATCAGATTGGATCTGGCCAAATTCCACATTTTGATCTGACAATAGGCTTAATCGATTGATTGAACAAGACGAGAATAATTAAATATTTTCAAGAGGCACTTTTATCAAGCTGCATGTATGGCCAAATTTTAGGACATAAAAGCCACTAGTAACAAGATGCCATTGACTTAATTTCTTAAATACTATACACCATGCAAGAACAATCTTCACAAATCTCACTTCATAAAATATTAAATAAGAGATTTATTTTCATCACTTGTATGCTAAACAGTTTAAAACAATCTTCTCAAATACAATTGGGAATTAAAAAAAAAAGGGTACGAAATATTTTCAATTTAGCAACAACTAAACACTCTTGCGGTTAACGATGTTCAAAAAATGGTCAGTGAGTCATTGACTTAATAAACCATGTATGTGGTTAAGTGTTCCTAAATTACAGATATTCTTATCAAGAATTCCTTTTCCTAATTTTTTCAACTGAATTAGATCAAATTAATGTGAAGGGCTAGCAAAACTTCAAGATGTACCTTGGGTTCCAAGCAGGATCAACTACTATCACACGATCTGCTCTTGTAAGTGTCAGACCCAAACCACCAACCTGAGATGTCAAAAGAAATATAGGAGCTCCAATACCTTCTTGGAATTCCTGAAATCAAAATAACAGATGGCCTAAGACAGAAGAATGTTTGAGGAATTGAAAAAGGTTATTTATTTAACCATGAAAACACTTACATTAACAATCCTTAGTCTGTCACTGGCTTTTGTTGTGCCATCAATTCGTAAAAATTCATAACCTTTGGATACTAGGCATTCCTATAAACAAGTAGTAGAAGCCCTTAAACCAACTCTTATACGCATACAACAATAAATTGATGATAAAAGGAATTAAGAGGGAAACTTTCAACATCCCCCTACAAGCGACCTAACAATTGTTAATGCTTAGAAGTTTATGGAACCACTGCCTATACATTTCCAGCTACGACAATGCACTGACACACCAGAAAGAGTTGAGCAAATGTTTAAACGGTCCACTGTTCTGACAAAATAATTGTAAATTTTAAATAAAGGAAATAATTTCTGAACCAACCTGTATAAGATTAAGCATCTTGCGAGTCTGAGAAAAGATAAGCACATTATGACCTTCTGGGATCAAATTATCCTACAGCAGAGAACATGAACTATAATATTATGCAAACAAGTAAATACCAGAACATGAATTGCACGAAATCAGCACTTACCAATAATGACATGATGAAGGAAATTTTGCATGATACATCGTGCTCATCTTTAAACTTATCTGTTTCTGCAACATCTGCTATGTGCTTTGCCAATTTTTCTGCAACATTAACCTCTTCTGGCTTTAGCATTGAGTCCATCCCTTCCAAGACATCCTCAGCTGCCCGCTTTGTCAACAGAAGTGGATGATCACATATTTTTTTCAAAATCTGATCCATTTAAAGAAAGAGTTAATATAAATATAAAGTATATGAACAAAGCCAAAAAAGAAAGACAATAGTCAAATAACATAATGAAAATCACCGTAAGGGCAGCCAGTGGGGACCCATCAAAAGCTGAGAGAACAATCTCACTCCTCAAAAATGCTTCATAAAGATGCCGCTACAATAAATAGAAATAAAACAAAATTTTAAAAACAAGTCATGAGTAATCTCAAGATAAAATGAAAAATGACAGAGAATTGCATATCTAACCTGAGTACTGGTCAATCGAAGCCACACAATCATCTCTCGTTTCTTAGAAAGTTTTGCGGTTGTTTTCTCATCATCTTGATTGAAAACCTCACTCTTTAAACGTCTCAAAAAGTAAGGCTGAATCCGATCTCTTAGCTCCTATTGAGAAAGGAGCATGATAATGCTTAAGTCAAAGTAAAATTTGTTATTAATTGATGATCAGAATATGAGAGAACACTACACATTACAATGAGATCCATTGCATTATAACTGTTTAACCAAGGGATTGCTTGCATTTTGTGGCATTAGAAAGATAGCTTAAAAAACATATTCAAAGTCAAAGGAAGAGAATACTCATATAGCAACTATAACAACTGTGCACGACCTGTAGAAAGTGGGACCAGCAACACAAAATATATGGTATTAGCTTTATATCTGCTAATCATATGACAGTGGTACTACCTTCTAGCAATTTAAAGCTTAATATTAATTATTCGCAAGTCCACCAGACCATTTATTTTACAATATCATGCGACAGGACTGCATGCAGGTGCAGGCTAAAATCAGCAGTCTAGAACTATCACAAATGTCAAACATTTGCAATAACTTGTCCATCTCCAAAGGAATTTAAGGATAACTAATAAAGGAATACAAAACAAATTGATCATTGACAACAAAACAACTAGAGAGAGAGAATATTCAAGAGGAAAAGTGGAAAGCATATTTAATCATATTCTTCTAATTGTGTGCAATGTGTGAACTCAAGACCAAAACCAACCTAAAGCATACTCTTTTCCATCCAAAGCCCATAGCCCAAGTCACATAAATTATATTTTGGAACACAAATAATCATTACCTTTGCTACAGATGAACCAATACGCTTCTCTCTATCAGAAGCATTTTTGTCATTTCCACGAAGTATGGGTGATTCAAATTTTTCTTTGAACCTGAGAGATTATGATTTTTTAAGTTATTAGAACCTTGGCTAAATTAAGAATGTTGCATGAAAATTATTATTACCATTTATTGTCACCAAGCAACTCAGGGCAACAGAAACTGAACAATGCCCACAACTCCTGTTAGGATGTTTTAAGAATGAAAACCATCAAACAAGGCAGCATAATCTAAATTTCAATCAATATTACAAAAACCAAAGTAGATAAGCCATGTTAAAAAGGCACTATTATACAATAAGACAGTTTTCATCAAAATACCTTCAGATTATTTTGCAATGGTGTGCCACTAATGATAATGCGATGAGCACTTGGTATCTCAAGCAAACTTTTAGCTCGTTGTGTGCTCGGGTTCTTTATAAGGTGCCCCTAAAGTTAAGAACATTTTGCAACAACAAAAAAAACCACCTTTTATAATATATTTAGCATATATTCAATGTCATATAATTCAAATTTCAACACATTAAATGAGCAAGATGATCATATAAAATTGAGCAGTCCCATAACTGTCCTCACTGGTCAAATATGCAGCAAGAAACTTGTAAGGTCAGCTTATTACATAAAGGAAGCCAGGGAAGCCTGTACAGGTCAAAGTTCACGCTTTGTACCTTTGGACCCGTTAACAATGACATATAGTTATCCTTATATCTAGTTATATAAGCAACAAAGTGCGTATTATAACCCACATATACTTTGCAGTTTCTGTCAAAATAATTTAACAAGCACTTCTTTGCTGAAACCTCAAATTCACTTTACCCCCTTTCCTGCTATTTGGAAGCCTTATCTGCCACTCCCGAATGTAAACCAACAACATTAATTATTCACGAATTAACATAAAAAGTTGCAAAGAATGAAATAAAGACAGTAAGGTAAATGTGCAAGACAAAAGTCCAGACCTCCGTGTTTCATTCAATCGGGGAGATGCACTCTGTTACACTATTCTGAAAAACTATAGAGTTCTTAAAGGGAAAGAAGAAATAAATTAAAACTTTTCCCCACATATATCTTCTTTCAGAATGGTACTCTACTTCTAACTTTTCTAATGTAATCTGTTTCCTAGATCATCTGAAAAATAAAAGATACAAAAACTATTGAGGAAAATGTAAATGTAATGTAAGTAGACAAACCAGCATTATATAGGTTTTACATAAAACAAACCCATGCTTACCTCATCAAGTATCATGTAGTCCCATGTAATGCCATCTTCACCATCCTCATCATCAAAATAATTATCCCCTTGTAAGGACTTAGAATTGTTGCGGACAATATCATATGTTGTGAGAAGAACACCTTTATCCTAGAAGGAGACATGAGAAAATATAGTTGAAGATTGATAGAAAAAAAGAAATTAGAAACATCCAAATACCAGCAATCGATTCAATGTCCACCAACCAATTTAAATGAATATTTTCCAAAATAAATTGACGTTCCCAGTCCCACCAGCCACATAAAAATAGGTTCCCTTCCAAATCTTATGCTGAATTTTAAGTTGATATATAAAACACAAATGTTTCTTTATCCTGTCTGTTATGAGGCACGAGCATGAATTTAACTTCTTGATATTTCTCAGTTTAATTAAATAAGAAAAACAAGAAAGATCTCGTGCCTGAAGTATGTACTGAAGTTCATATTCTCGGGCTTTTGTAGAAGTTCCGAAATATCTGCAGAAAAGCACAAATTGGTGATTTTTGTTCTTCTAGCAAAAAAACTTCAACTTTGCATATTAGATAAACTATTCAAATGAAAAGCCAGGCAGACGCACTCTCTTATCTTCTCAGAGAGACCAACAGCTGATAATTCTTTGATCCAATGGGGCAGTAAGGTTTTTGGGGCCACAATCAATGCCCTTCTAATTAAACGGGAATGAAATAGTCCAGCTAGAAAGCCACAAATCTGCACGAAGAATTGGACATTGGTAAATCATGTAATATCCATCGCTTATTATAAGTTCTAAAAATTGTGCTTTTCATTTCCTTACCTGCATTGTTTTACCCAAACCCATGTCATCCCCCAAGATTCCACCTTTACCCAGACAATGCAAAGACCAGAGCCACTTCAATCCATCCCGCTGATGTGGATACAACATTTTTGCAATTTTACCCGACAACTTATACGTAGATTTTGGGCCACTCAGAGTTATAGAACCATCGTTCTCAGGCTCAAAATGATCCAACACTTGAACGGAATCATCTGAATCATATTCAACACCACCACCATCATTCTTATTCCCCTCCGACGAGATGTCAGAGGGATCCTGTTGTGGAGAAAATGAAGACCCCGCACTCCCAAACTCTAAAGCCTCATCATCACGAGTTTCTTTCCCTCCAACGAAACCCTCAACCGGCTTCTGCACACGCTTCCTCTCAACTGATAGCAACTCAAACTTGGAGTTCAGTTCATTCAAAATATCCCTAATTTCATTTCTACCCCCACTCTCCGCAATCTGGATCACATTTTTCGGTGCAGGAATGGGAGAATCAAGGTCGACGAGGTCATGAAACTTGGACTCATCAACCGCCACTTTTTTACCGTCATCTGCATACGCAACCTTGCAGAGGCGGCGTCGCCCTTGCACTTTAACCTTCGTCTTCTTTTCCTCCTCTGAAATTCCACGTTACAATGATTACGGTGATGATTATGGTGCTGATTGGATATTCAAATAAGGCATGGAGGCAGAGAACACTTACCGGGGGAAGAATTAGCCGAAAACTGAGGTGCTTCTTCTACCCTGATTGGTTCGTCTTTCTCAGCCGAGTTTTGCCCTAATAATCAATTAACGCAACGCAGATGAAGTATGAGGAACAAAGAAAGAGAGGGAGAGATTAAATAGAAGGGAATTACCGATTGGAGAATCAAAGTCAGTGATTGCAGAAAATCGGGGAATAGTTTTGTCTTCATCTTCGATCGGTTTATTGTCTTCATCTGCGGAAGAATATGAGAATGAGAATATGAGAAAGAATAAAAGAGAAGTGAGATGGAAAAGGAAGGAGTATCGTATAGTACCGAAGGGTTTGGGAGCAGAGAGGTTTTGGAGGAAGCGATTGTGGCTATCGTTGAGGCTCAGTGGTTTCTTTCCGCTCTTGTTGGCCATTGCGATTCTTCAATCTTCAATGAAAAAATGGAACTCCAACCAAAAGGTACAAAACAAAAGAGGAGCCTCCTCTTACTTATTTTCCGTGGAACGGGACAACTGGGATTCCGCTCCTTAGCTTCCCGCTTTGCTTCTTACGTTTGAATTTTGGATTCACTCTTCGGATTTGAACACTTTACTGTTACTATGATTTCGCCTTTCTTATTTCTTATAAATAAATATATCACTCAGTCAAACATTAACATCCCTATTTTAAAATTGTAATTATGGAACTAGCATCTCGTTCAAAAGGTATAAATAAAAATTAAAGTCTACAAATATATCATTTATTCTCTCTCTCATATATGTTATTATTATTCACACACACCACTTCTTTGATTATGTTTGTGTACAATAATCTGTTACCTCAAAAATATTTCCTTCATATCTAATTTCAAAACACTTTTCCTCGGGATAGAACGTAAAGTAATTGCCGTAAGAAAATAAAACTTTGTTCTAATGACATGATATACACGTATAATAGTGACTATCCATTAGGATTAAATTAAAAAATAACAGCATATATTTTATAACGCAGCCTGTCTTACTGCACATTTAATTTAAACAGTTTTTATTTGTTTCTTCTTTGTTGTTCATTAATTCAGGGGCACAACATGCACCTCTATACTTATGAGATTAAAACTCATTAAGAACAAGTCGTGACTCGTGACATAACTTGTTCGCACATACGGCCTTGTAATATGTTGTCAACAAACTCGTTCATCCATCCTTGTCCCTCGCAATCGATGTTAAATCTTGTTTTGAGTGAAAAACAAGAGAACAAATACAAACTCTGTCACAAACAAGCAAACAATTCATCGAGGAAAGAGAAAGGAAACAAACCATAAACTTGTGCTAAAAGAAATATGAGACAGGATCCATTTACAAACTTTTTTGAATTTGTTTACAATTTATGTTCTCCCGAGAAAACACAGTGTAGTTTGTAAAAATTTGTATTCTCTCAAGAGAATATAGTGTAGTTTGTAAACAAAAAAGTTTGTAAACATAGTCTGCCTCAAGAAATATTGATAAATAACTACATATTTCAAAGAAGAAGAAAAAAAAAAAAAAAAACTACAAAATGCTAAGCCAATGAGAGTCGAATGATCAAGTTTCCATTTCTTCATACAAACCCATAACAAAAATCTCCTCTAAAAGCTGTAAAGGAAAAGATGAGTTCCAGAGGAAAAACATCGCCTATTCTGTCATTGAATGAGTAGGAATTAGGACATATATCCCTCGTATACTCAAACAAGGCCTATCTATATATTCTTGAGGTGCAGTACATGTACATGGTGAGGATCAGATATTGGTTCAAGGATTTGAGGCAGGGCTATCATCAAGATGATATATTTGCATCACACAGGTGCAACCCAAAAGAAACCAACAACAAAATGTGATTAAAAAAAAAATGGGGCGATTGTCTTCCATGGTAACAGAGTTTGAGTTTCTTGTGTCAAAAAGACAGAGCCAAAATCCAATATAATCAATCAATCAATCAAACAATCATATCACGAGACCATAGAATTTGTCAATGCCATTTCACTCTCATGTGAAGCAACAGATGATGCCCTGTTTAACCCGCCACCTTTTGTTTGAGCTGCAACCTCAACATCTGCATTTTCATGTGCATTTGCAGCACCCCAATTTCCTCCTCCACCTCCTCCACCCCCACCTCCACCTCCACCATTAACAATGTCAATTCCAACTCTACATCCACAACACCTTGAGAAGATTCTGTATAAGAAAGTTAAAAACCAAAACGCCCATGGTAGGCAAACCAATGTAACCCCAACTACGGGTAACCAAGATGCAGCTTCTGATTCAGGAAGGACCATATATGCCGCAAGGCACCCGCCTCCTGCGACTATAGAGATGAATAAGAAACAAGTGATGAGCCATATGAACGCGCGCCCAGAATTGGGGTCATAAATAGGCATTTGTGCCACACAGCAGAAGGTGTAGAATAATGATCAAATATGTGAAGGCCGGATCAAGATTTCGTCTTTATCATCATCCATTTTAAGCAATGAGGAGGTTAATGTTTTGGGGAGGAAGATTGGCCTGACATGGGGGTGATGAGAAGGGTTCCTTTTGGAGGTGGGTTTTTTTTTTTTTAATTTTTTTTTTCCAGGTTTAATTCTTCTGGTGTAGTTGCAATGAAGCCTGAAAATGGGAAATTCTCAAAGGGTAGACATATTCAAAAGTTTGTTAACCTAAAACATGGCTAATGTTAGAACAAATACGCCCACAAAGACAGAGAAAGAGAGAGGGAAGCGGGTTCCAATTATGGTTATCCAAGTTGGGGTTTGAGTTGGTTTGGTTGCTACTAATTCACAATGAGAGCCCATCGTTTATAGAAGTCGTCATGCTCATGCATGCAAAATAACCCAAACTCCGACCAATGAGGTATAGGATACCCAAATACTATTAGTTAATGCACATCATAATATAATAAAAACGGACCCACTAAGTCGGGTCGATCCATGAATCGATAAACCGTTCATATAACTAGTCCGGTGAAAACAACGGATCAGTCATGCATCAGAATCAATGCAACCTGGCCGATTTTCATGAAAATCGGTGACCTGGTCGGTTAAACACTGATTTGGTGACCCGGCCCGGTCGCCAAAAAAAAAAATTTCAAAATTTTCATAATGGACATATTTGAATACTTTTTTGCTTATTGACTTACATAAGATACGTACCTATAACACTAATATTATCTCAATTATGCACTATGTAGAAAATTTTGATTTAATTTATAGTTAGAGATGTCGTTTTCTGAACCTAAAGTCTCGTATCACGATTATTATATTTTTATTTGATCTTTTATTGGATAATAATATGTGATTTATTATTTTTTATATTAAAATATTTGAAATTTTTATCATTTTTTTAGATATTTGAGTATGTTTATAATTTTTTAATATAAATTATAAAATTACATATACAGGGTCATGCCATTAAACTAGTGACCTAATAACTTGACCGGATTAATGATCGGACTGATTTTAATAACATTGGTTTCTCCATATTACCAGCACCATATTGGGTTAACTCTGTTAATTGATTGACAAATTAACCTTTTTTCGCCAACCTAATGTTATTTTTTATATTTAGTAAAAGGTGCATAAAAGTTTGATATTTTAAATTCACCCAACAACTTTACCTGTATTAACTTTTATTTACCTTGATATTTAATTAACAGAAAATAATCCCCTTAGCACATAACAAATTAGAATGTATCATTTACTCATTAATATGTTGTTCTTCCCTGTATTTCATCTTCGAGGTTTTGGGAATAAGAAAGAACACCAAACTAATGAGTAATGGTGCTTTCTTTAAATTTAATTATAATGAAATCAATAAAAGATTTCAATTTGACTCTTCTGTCAGTAATAAACTCAAACTAATTATCAAAACACAATATAAACTATCAATCCTTTAAAAAGTAGAACTGTTTGGTTTAAGAAAATATTTTATGTTTTCATTATTAGTAACAAAAATATTTTTTTTTTATTTCCCTTCCTATTTTTAAAATTTTATACAAAAAATAAAGTAAAGACTAAGTAATATTTTTATAATTTTTAGTAAAAACAAAAAAAATAAAAACAGAAACGCTTTCTTAAATCAATCTGGCCTTTAAGATTCTCTTTATTCAAATGTTTGGAATGCAACATTGGTTTCAGGCTCCCTGCCATTTTTTCGTAGTTTCTTATTATTGTACATACTACTGATCGACTTGGACTAGGTTAAAATTTAGATAGACAATTTGAAAAGGGCTTCTGAGCAAGATTCGTCGCTTTGCCATGAGCATTACCAGTTTTGGACTTTTCTATAGTTTGGGAATTTTCAATAATTGTTATTTATTTACCTTTTTTTTGTTATTTCTTATATTATGTTTGAGTGTGTGTTGATTGTGCATTATCTACTTTAATTGTGCATGAGTCCTTTTGATTTTATTTTTGTTTTGTTTTGTTTGTCTATTTAAGGTTTTGAGAACCCTATTGTTATTTGGTTGTTTTTGGTTAATAAAATTCAAAAAAGAGAAATAGTTTTTCTCAAAATCTTTGTTTTCAATCTTTTTTTTCTGTTTAACCAATGGGTTACTGCTTCGGCGTTATTTGATAATCAAAACATAAATGATTGAACAAAACAATGGTGGTCGTGGACGACAGAGTCGAGGCGGCGACGATAGAGGACATGGTAACACCCTTAATGGCAATGGTAAACATTCACACATCGACGTGCGAGATGCCACAATTGTAGTTGCAATGGGAGAACAAGATAGACGAATTCGGGGGCTCAAACAACTGGTTGCCATAACACAGTTGTACGAATCAGATGAAGGAAGGAAATTTAAAAGATCATCTCATGTGGAAGAAAGGAACGAAAACCCATTTTGGAACCAGGAGCGACAAAGACAAAATCAACCTGGCGCTAAATCATTTTTTGCTAATATTGGGGTGAAGATTACGGAATTCGAGGGCGCCACTCATCCAGATGAGTTTATCGACTGTTTTCACACTGCCGAAAAGGTCTTTGTCATCAAAGACTTGACAGAAGACCAAAAGGTCAAATTGGTTGCTATCAAACTGAGGAAGCATGCCTCAATTTGGTGGGAACACATTAAGAAGCAGAAAACCAGGGAAGGAAAGTCGAAGATCAAGAGTTGGAATAAGATGAAGAAACTATTACAACAAAAATTCTTACCTGTAGCAAGAGGCATTTATTGAGTACCATAATCTCAAGCAGCGAGTGTAACACCCCGTTCTAGAACCGGTTTGTTAACATCGCATTATGATATTAAGCGCAGTTACAATCACATGGGTTCAATTAAAATCCGGATAAATTTTTCATTTTAAAACGTACCGAACTTATAATACCCATTTTCGTGATCATAACCTTATTACCTTGCGGAAACAGATAAATTAAGCTTAACATCATGTTCATTTTCCATTTTTAAACCATTAATTTACTTCTTATTTATTTCACAACTTCTACTATATTGTAGGTTTCTTCATTAGCTACCCGTGGCTTCAAACCGTGCACAAATCGGAGCACTGTAGCCCAAGTTAGGACAATTTGAAGCAACCCAAGAGAGTGTTGGTCACAAGCCCCGCGCGCTTCAGCGCGCTACCGGGCGCTCAAGCGCGCGCGCTATCGGGCGCTAAAGCCTCCATCTGGGCGCTTAAGCGCACGGAGGCAGTAAGCATCAGGCATTCCAGTGTGGATGGGCGCTTAAGCGCGCAACAGGGCGCTCAGGCGCGCTATCCTGGGCGGTCAAGCTCCCACGGGGACGTTTTAGCGCGCAGAGACAGAAGTATCTCCTCCTACAGTGGCTAAAGGCGCTTAAGCGCGGACCAGGGCGCTCAAGCGCGCAACCCTGGGCGCTTCAGCCCCACCCTGGGCGCTAAAACACGAGGGGGCAGTAAGCCACCCAACTTTCTGCAGCAAGGGGCGCTTAAGCGCACGCCAGGGCGCTCCAGCGCGCAATCCTGGGCGCTTAAGCCCCCACTTAGGCGCTCCAGCGCGAGGAGGCAGAATGCATTGGCACACGCAGGGGCAGCAGGGCGCTTGGGCGCGCTCCTGGGCGCCAAGGCGCGCTGCCAGGGAATTCCAATTCCCACATTTTTCAAGTCCAAGCCTAGGGGAAGATACATCCCCATTACAAACCCCAATTATCCATGCCCCAAAACGAAATCCTAGCACTCACCCAACCTCTCCTCATGAGATTTAGCTAGAATTTGGGCAGCATGACCTTTGTTTTCTCATCGTTTACCAGTTTAAACAAAAGGTACCTAATTGATTTTCAGCCCAACCAATTCAACAACTCAATACATAACAAGCATGCATATGTTGAATTTCAAATAGGCATCATTTACATTACATATCCTTTACAAATCATAGAACTTAGCTTACAAAACCCTATGATCATCCCCTTGGCTCCCATCAACAAAAGGTGTAACCAAAGGCATGAGCATAGGCTAAGTTCATCCAATGAATCAAGATATACAAATGATCATGGGCTTTCAAAATAAAATCCTATACATGTCAACTACAAAAGGCATGCATAAACTCAAAGAAGTGCCATATTTCATGCATAATCCAGATATGGCCACTTGCCACCAGAGGCTCCTGCAGCATCCTTACCTGAAAGGGGGTCCCCACAACACGGGGTGAGATATACGAATATATCCAGTAAACCAGGGGTCCTTGGAGCATCTCTCCACCCCACAGTTCCATATCAGTGTAAGAGCAATAACAATAATAATGCAGTAAATACATATCTATGCAAAGTGCACTACATCTCCAGGAGAAATCCCTCGAGCTCTCAAGCTGTCCTAAGGAAACTCAGATGCAAATAGTCCTACTGGCCAGCTAACTACCAAGTATGATTTACGCATCGTCATGCCACATACCAACATAAGGAAACACCATCCTATGCCACACCAAATGCATACACATACGTATAACAAAGCATTACACTATTTTATTGCATTTATATACACAATCACAACCTCCACCCTTTCAGGGCTTGGTAGAACAGTCAAGGGAATTACACCCAAGGTCCGAAGGCTTACCTCAATGCTTCAGTCGACCTTTGTTCTTCACCAATGTCAACAATACTCTACGCCAAAACCAACACCTACACATGGTGTAATGCAATCAACACATTGCATCCAAGAGTATTTCACAATCAACCATCAAATGTTCAATTCAAAACACCACACAAGTATGTGCTTACCAATTCCAATGAGCTATTCAAGCTCCATAGCTTGCTCCAATGGTTGATCACTCACGGTTGGTCCAAATGTCTCAATCCTAGACATCACAAGGATCCAATCAATCATTCAACTCACTAATTGTTCAACATGCTAGAATACTAACCAATCCAAGCATGAATTTTCCAATATTATGAGCAATTATCAAATGACTATCTAGGCTCATTTCCACCGATTAAATGTCGTTCCTAGCATTTTTCCCAACATGCTCTAAACTCCATTCTTCCTAGAACATAGCTAATTCAACTACATTTCACAAAAATCCCAATTTACTATTCACAAACCCTAACTCATGCAAATTTCAAGGAATCATGAGGTTCAAGGGTTAGAATCTTACCACCAATGGTCACACAACCAAGCAAGGAGTGTTCCTCAAGCTCCCATGGAGGTTGAACTTCCCAAAACCCCAATTTTCACCAAAGGGCCGAATTTTTGAGAGGTAATATCTCTCTCCACAATGCTCCCCACTTAAAACAAAGCTAGGATTATGAAATAGGAGGAGATTTGGAGTGGTTTAGGCTTTTGAACGGATGGATTTGGTTGAGATTTGCTTTCTCTCTCTCTCTTTCCCTTTTCTTCTTCCCTCTCTTCTCCCTCTCTTCTCTTCTCCTCTGTTTTCTGGCGACGGGTTTCTGGGGGAAATGGGGGTCATTTGGTAGCTTAAGTCACTTAACATAGGTTAAGTGGCTTTAAGCGGGTATTGGTTCGTCTATCTATTCAACTCCAATAATTACCAAACTTTACCCAAAAGTCTGGAATATTATTCTAGGAATGTTACTATTTTTATTTTTATATTTTGGGTACTTTTGCCAGTACCCATTTATACCCCTTAATTTTCACTGAGTACATTTTTAACTCCAAAGTGACTCAGATTCATTTAATTTAGCATTATACTTAATTTTACTCACTAAAACATGTTTAATTAATTAATTACACTTGATTTCCTAATTAATTAATATGGGCTATTATAGCGAGACCTGTCAGTTGAACAGTATACCGCAGAGTTTTACCATCTGCGGATGCGCTGTGATATCGTAAAGGAGGACGAACAATTGATTGCTCGTTACCTGGGAGGACTGCGAACTGAGATATCAGATGTAGTATACCTGCAGCAAAATTGGTCATATGAGGATGTATGTCGATTGGCTTTGAAGGTAGAAGAACAATGTAAGAGAAAAAGAAGTGGTTCAAAATTTCAACCTATATTTCCAGATAGGGAGGAGTTATTGAGCTCAGCAACTAACACTAGTGCGGTGTAGAGGTGTTTCAAGTGTTAGGGGATTGGACATTTGCTACGGATTGTCCAAATCAACAGATTATGATGCTTATTGGTGCTCCAATCTATGATGAGGTCTTTATCTATGATGCATTCAACGAAGAACAAGATGACGAGAATCCAATTATGGATGCTCCAGTTTATGACGAGATCCCTATCTATGATAAGTATGATTGGGAGCAAGACGATGAGAATCCAGAGATGGAAGAAATCCTTTATAGTGATTCTGGTGAGAAGTCAATTTCTAGAAATTTTAATATCTCTGACAAAGCTGAAGTTCTATCCAAAGATGTCATGGGGAATGAGCCTTCATTTAAGCAATCTTTAGTTTGCAAACAAAATTATGAACTTAGGTACAACGGGCATAACAACCTCATGTTTCATGGAAATAAAGATTTAGCTTTTGGTAGAAGTTTAATTGGAGATAATCAGGGGCAATGAGAGTTGATGTCACCTTAAGCAGAATTTTCTTATGACAAATCACAAATGCAATCAATGAACCAAACTACAGGCAATAGTCTTTTTGGTATAGTCTATGGGTTTTGTCCCCTTACTCCCTTAGAACTCGCATCATTTCTAGTTCCCAAGTGGTTTAATTCAAATGTAGATAAACATACCAAGCATATCAAAGAATTGCATTCACAAGTTCTACCCTTAATTAGGGAGTTTGGTGATATTATACCAGAAGAGTTGACGCCTGGGTTACCACATGAAGAAGTTGATATCGATGAAGACGAATCAAATTCGAGGGTGAATCTTTTCCTAGCGGGGGAGGAGGATGCACTCGAGCTGACTAACTTGGATTGACGTTGCTTTGCCATGAACATTAACAATTTTGGGCTTTTATATAGTTTAGGATTTTTCAATAATTGTTAGTTATTTACCTTTTTTTGTTATTTCTTATATTATGTGTAAGTGTGTGTTGATTTTGTATTATTTCCTTTGATTGTACATAGTTCCTTTTGATTCTGTTTGATTTTTTTTTTTTTTTTCTATTTAAGACTTTGAAAACGCTATTGTTATTTGGTTATTTTTTATTAATAAAATTCAAAAAAGAAAAATAGTGTTTTCTCCCTGTCCTTGATTTCAATCTTTCTTTCTGTTTAGGCACTAATACTCCTCTATACGTAAAAGATGGCCTCAGTTCTCCCTTTGATTTTTCTTTCGTTATTTTTCTCCAACAAATATTCGATAGTAAGTTAAAATAAACAATAATTTCTTATAGTTTTGTCCAATGTATATTTTAGTCCTTATAAATTTTAGTAAACACTTTAATAATTAAAAACTATACAAATTAATTGCTAAATAAGCACGAAAATCTAAATAGAACACAAATATAAAAACTGTTATAAATAAAAAAAAAATATAAGGACCGATTATTTATTTTAAGCTTGATAAAATTATCTATCTAATTTTGTGAAGATGACATTTATATCCTCCATAAGTCATTTTATTTCAAATCTCAAAATTTGTTTAAATTTTATCAATTGAATAAAATTGTTAAATAAAAAAACACAAAATTAGTTTCTTGTCCTTTCTCTCCGATCTCTCTGTAAACCTATTCATCTATGATTTTGTAGCTTTTTTCTTTTTTTTTTAGTACAATGATTTTGTAGCCTTTACATCATACAGATACACAATATGGCACAGCTAAATGTCAAAATCAATAGAATGGTCAGGTGACAAAGTGACATAAAAACTTATCCAGAGTTGACCGTTTCAGTCAAAGAAACTTCAGGCACCTCATCTTCGGTATTTGCTCGAATGGCAGTCATCATCTGGTACCTCCTTTGATCTTGAGCTTTCCTCCGATTGGCTTCGAGCACAATGAGTAGAGCAGTGATATCAGCAGGGCTCACCCCACCTACTCTGCTTGCCTGACCAATGGTTTGAGGCTTAACCTAAAATCATTGAAAGAACTTATCAAGTCCTGGAAAATCAGTTGAAGTATAGAGTTTGCTTATACCCACCCATTTTATTACACACAACATAATATAAAATATAAAATCATTCATCTCCCTTCACATAAGAGCTTAAAATTTTCAAAAAATCGATTGCTTGACATTTCCTTCCCTACCCAAAATCCTTCAACAGGCATATATGCTTTTCAGTTTTTTTTTTATATTTCATGAGTTCAATATAGCGGTATATCGACTAGCACTTGAAGGATTGCTTGTCATAAATATTTTATTCACATGATCTCATTACTTTTTTTTGTTATTACAAAATTTGTACGGTGAACTTGTGCATCCAGGGATGCATTTCGGTTTGTAATGACCCAAATATCTATTTTGATAAACATACAAGTTACAAACCTTGGAGAGTTTTTCACGAGCTTCATGAGACAAAGTTGTCAATGCATAGTAATCCAAGTCTTCAGGAAGTGCTCTGTGTTGTTGAGTAACCATCTATATGCAATCCAACACAACAATTAGACTTCACATCAAATAAACCTCTGAAATTCTAAATGTTCAGAAACTAAAATGATTTCGGGATAGTGATATGGACACGGAGCAAAGTGCATCAATTTTTCTCATTGACATGTCTTAACAAATACCTGTTGAAGTTGACTTTGCTGACGCAAGATGAAACCTTCATACTTAATATCGATCTCAACACATTCTTTTTCGATTCTTGATAAGTTTTTGTTACCAAAACCATGCTTATCAAGAATTCCATAGTGTATGTGTGGTTTCTTAAGAAGATTTTCCAATGTTGAAGAGTCCTTTACAGGCTGATCAGACAGAAGAGTAACCTCCGCAGCCAAATCCCCTCCTGATGAGAAAATTGAGGAGAGTAACAATAATTGATAAGAAAATAAATAATTTTTTTATCTACAACAGAATATTTATTAGAAGGAAAGAGTACAAGGCTGGAGTAGCGCCAAAACAATGGGGTCTTACTAGATAAAAAAAAGTCAGACATTTTGCCTAGATTTTGGATAATAATAATCACAAATAATTTAGATTTCTACTTTACACCAGCGTGGATTATCTCTTCGACTATATAAAGCAGTAGTTTCCACTCTAATCCTTAAGTAACGTAATAAAAATATTTATAAAACAATGGGATTTGACAAGAGCAAGGCCAACAACTGTATTTGACTCGAGTCATCAACATTTCAATGAATTTGTTATTATATGCAAATATCACCAGCTTGTTTTCCCCAGAGGATAAACTTCTTTTAGTTCCTTTTAAGAAACAGCTCCCAAGTGAGTGATTTGCCACACAAGCATAGTAAACAAACAAACCTGAAATCCTGACAATTTTCAATCGCTTCTTTTCCTCAGAAATCCGAGCCTGCTTCTCCTGGTACAGTTTCCAGCGTCTATTATCTATCAACCCAATTTCACGACCCAAAGGAGTAAGACGGCTATCAGCATTATCAGATCTCAAGAGTAACCGATGCTCTGAGCGGCTAATATGAGGTAGACAAACTTTTTAAGGTGTATTTGTCAATAAATCAGAAACAGAATAAAGCAGCATACATTCATCTATGAGCAGAAATGTTGTAATCTTAGTTAGCTTACCTTGTTAACACGCGGTACGGCTCTCGCAGGTCCTTGGTAACTAGATCATCAATTAAAGTTCCGGTATAACTGCTCTCCCTCTCAAGAACAATGAGTGGCTTACCATCTGCATGTCTCGCAGCATTGATACCAGAGATAATGCCCTAAAGGATGAAAAATAGTATATTGTGATAGGAAACTTGCTATATGAGTAGCTATGATGCATGGGTACTCCTAAAAGGTTGTTGTACCCGTAACTAGCAAGTATCCCGTACCATAAATAATTGGATAGACATGGGTTCGTACACAATTTTCCCTTATCAATCAACTACAGGTCAGTCAATGTAAAACACCAAGTTTAGTTACTAAGTGTTTAGTTTACTCTATTTAAAACTCTGCTTTCTTTAAATATTTCTTATAATTTAATTACTTCATCATTTATGTTTATGGGGAACATAACTCTCATATGACAGGAGTTATTTCTTCTCCTGCACTAACATTGAAAACTGCACCCCAGTTTTTTTTTTTAAATGACGGTGAGCCCCACTTTTTATGTCTTAGTTGGAGACAAGACTTTTCTCCTACAACAAAAGAAAAGTAAGCCTCAATGTTTTTATATATAAATATAGGGTTTAATGTTTCTCATATGTTGTAGGAGATAAAATTATCTCCTTCACACACGTAAAAATATGTGAGGCCCATGTAGAGCCATATAAAGAGAAGAGAGAGAATGAGAAAGTATGGACTTTACATACTTTTACGTGTATGTAGGAAATAATTTTATCTCCTACAACATGAGAAACATTAAACCCATAAATATATACCTAATGTAATAACCTGCTCTGCCTGTTCACTGGTTTGTTTAGAAATTTTGCCATATCCCATAAATACCCATACAGGTAAAGGTACTCATACCCGTTTCCATGAAACTTAGATTAACAGGAAGCCCAATTAGCCAGGTGAGTTTAATAAATTCCTCATGATACAACTCACAACACGAAAAAAACAAAAGTATTACATTAATAAGCACAAATGAACTTTAAAAGAATACCTGTGCTGCAGCTTCTTCATAGCCAGTAGTTCCATTTATCTGACCAGAGAAGAACAATCCTTGTATTTTCTTTGTCATAAGAGACCTAGCACATTGGTGGGCGGGTAAATAATCATACTCCACAGCATATGCAGGCCTCAACATTGAACAGTTCTCAAGTCCAGGCAAAGTTCTCAGCAAAGGTAATTGCAATCTCTCCGGCAAACCCGTCGAGAACCCCTATAAAATAGAAATACATTTCAATCTTTTGTATGAACCCATAAAAAATTAGAAAAGATTTAGAACTCATAAATAATTTAGCATAAAGAATAGAAGTATGAACTCATAAAAAAGCTAAATACTTGAAAACCACAGTCATGTGTACATTGTGCTCAAAAAGAGTAAAATTAAAAATAAGAAACTAAACAACAACAACTACTTTATACCAAACTAGTTGAGTTCAGCGGTCGATAAACCCAAAAAAAGCAAGAAAAGATTGAGAGAGAAGAAAAATAAATAAACACAAAAATCAATAAATATAGAGAAAATAAATTTATTTACTTGTGTTTATTCATTTATTTATTTATTCTCTATTAAATGGAAATTAAATGAGGACTTATACAATGATGAGTGCATTGAGTATTCTTTGCCACCGTGGATGTAGAGATACTTACGGATATATATATATATATATATAAAGACACACAGAGAGAGAGAGAGAGAGAGAATTTCATTAAGGAAGAGAAGTACAAAGCTAGAGGATAAGACATCCTCAAAAGATAAAAAAGAGGTCATATAAGCCATGATCATCCCTCCCCCCTTTTTCCCCAACTGGAAACAGTAAAGTAAAGAGAAGGAGGACTTTATTCATAAGTCTTGTGACCCTAAATTCACCTTCAATTGAGCTTCAGATAGAGAGAGAGAGAGAGAATTTAGCTTGTTCAACTCTATCTTTCTTCCATATTCCATCCCATTACATCCTTATTCCATCAGGCAAGACAACAAAACTCGATTTTTCATCTCTTTCTATGTTGTTTCATAAAGTTGGTAATACTTCAAATATCTGACAATTTATTAATGTTAAACAAGGACATGATGGCACAATTTAGATCTTCGTCATACTCCATGCATCACTATTTAAACAGGTATATATATTTGTTCCAACCACTTTTGTGACTGATTATTAATTTCCCCAGAATTATATCAGTTTGTTAATTTACTGTATGAATCTTCACCATATTATTGTAAACCCCCTCCCCCCCTTTCCCCCACAAAAGATTAAATTGGCAAGTTTCTTTCAGATTACATAGAACAAAAAAAGAATATATAACTTACCTGCACATAAAGCTCAGGCACATCCCGACCCTCTGGTTCAAGAAATACTTGATGAGACTCTCTATCTTGGAATTTTACAATCTAAAATGAACAATATATCACATCAGAAAATAATACAAATAATTCCAATATAATTGACCAGATGCTTCAGATCACACCTTTTTCTATAACTAGTAAATATTAAACTGATACGAACGGAAACAGGTTAACTTATTTTTAATAAAAAAATTAACAAGTAAATATTGTTGAAACAAACCTTATCTTCTATGGAAGGGCAGTATCTAGGTCCTTTGGCTTCAACCCATCCTCCATAAGTGGGAGTTTCATGTAAATTCTCTCTTATTATCTGGTGAGTACTATTTGTGGTACGGGTTAGGTAGCAGCACATCTGTTCTCTTTCAACATGGACATCAGGGTCAAAACTAAACCAGCCAACCTGCCAATTATGAAGATACACTGAGGAAACACCATCTTTCTGTTACAGAGTAAATGCTTTTATCTACAGACTAGACTACTAGCAGTTAGCGATTAGCATTATCATTCAGCACTGAAGGAAAAGCAATAATATATTTTGTTTATCGTGTCGTAATTTCTTGGGACTATTGAAACTAAAATTATTGCAAACTTATTTATGCTAAATAGTATCATCAACCAAGGCAATCAGAGAATCAACTTAAAAAACATCTTGGAACTTGCCCAACTGATGACTGGTGGACATATTTCTCCAAGTGGCAAAATTACTAAAGCATTTTAGTTGTGTCAAGATTCCTAACAGACTGACATAAGTAGAAAATTGACAACGAAACTTCCAAGTCCAGACAAAACCATTTGAAAACCACAAACCAAAAACATGATCCAAACCAAAATTGAATCTAATGAACATACATATAGGTTTAAATGGAAGAACCTCTTCATCTCCATGCTGAGGTTCTAATCCTGAGAAATTTACGGTGCGAATGTCCACTCGTGCTGGGGTTCCAGTTTTCAACCGATCAGTTTCAAAACCAAGTCGCTGTAAGTTCTCAGTTAATCCATGTGAAGCAGACTCGCCAGCTCTTCCTGCAGGCATAGAAGTTCTACCAACCCAAATTTTACCACTCAGAAAAGTTCCTGTGGTCAGAATTACAGATGGAGCATAGAATTTCATTCCAAAAAATGTACAAACACCTTCCACATTATCATTCTTCCCCAGTAAAATATCTGTGACCATAGCCTCCCGAATATAAAGGTTTGGAGCTCTGCAAAAAATAAATTCAAAATTAAAATGTGATGGGAAGTACCAAACAAGAGCAGATGCATAAAGCATGTGAAAAAGATCACACGGGGCCAAAGAATATTTGGAGATATCAGGGACCTAGAGTGCAAATTGCTACCCTGCACCCTCCACTTGTCATGTTGCTTGTTACAATTTTTTGAGTTATAAGGTGATGTTTCTTATCACATATGTTAAGATATTAAGACTATTAGGTTATTAGTCTTATTTGTAGTGGGCTTTGGCTTGCACTAGTAGTACAACTACTTGACCTACTTATTAGTATAAATATGTGTGTTAGTTAGAGTATTGTAAACCATTACATCTATAAATCATATTTTTAGTTCACTACCGTTAGCTGTCTTTTTCTCTTTTCCTTATTTCCTAACCCTAAACTGATACAATCCCACCTAAGTTTGTGGCTTACCGTAGGAAGCATTTCAGAGAATTACAATCTTTATGCAAGGAAAAGGTGACGGTTAATGCTGAGGCTATTAATGCTGACTTGTCCAATGCCATGTCACTACCACGTGAGGAGAAGGCAGCAAATGGTGAATCACAGCCAGGTGATAAGAGCAGTGCCTTGAAACGATTGGAAGAAAGAGAATAAGATGGGAAGGACCGAAGGAAGAAGGATCCTTTTGGACAATGGGAATTCTGGACTTTTGGGAGAGATCAGGGGCTCTCCAATTCCTCTGAACCTATCCTTTATTTTCTGTCATTTCAGTAATTGTTGAATATTAATTTGTCTTACGAATTATGTCTTGTTATTAGTTTGATTTCCAGAAGTACATTCTCTGTAATAGAAGCTGAATACTGTACTGATCCTTTCTCAATATATAAAAAGTGAAAATACAGATTTACATTTCCATTTGCAAATCCTTGTTGAATTCAAATATTCGAGTCTTACAATTGGTATCAAAGCTCTTTTCTGGGAGCGCTAAATGGTTCTTACGAGAACTATGGATAATCGAGTAGAAACAATGGAGGCAAGAATAGGGAGGACAAAAGAGGGAGTTCAAAGAGTAGAAGCTGGGCTCGCTGAGGTGCTCATGGATGAACGTCGCTCATCCAGTAGAGCAAGCAGGGGTAGGGACGGAAGGAGAAGGCGAGAGTCTCCAGAGTTCACTGATGAAGATGACTATGGCGGACGAAGAAGAGAAGATTTTGGGAGGAAATTGGAGATACCTACCTTCTCTGGGAACAATGTATATGACTGGTTGAACAGAGTTAATCGGTATTTTGAGGTGAATCGATTGAATGATAGGGAAAGGTTGAGAGCTGTAATGGTGGTACTGGAAGGAGAGGCACTCCACTGGTACCAATGGTGGGAAAGAAACACCATGCAAGCTACTTGGGCATCTTTTCATACAGAGGTGCTTAGCAGGTTCCAACCGGATTTAGAAGGGAATCCGTTGCACGAGTTGTTGAGCTTGCGCCAAGCTGGAACGGTTCAAGAATACCTGAGGGATTTCGAGAGAATCAGTGGAACCTTGGAGCATGTAGACGACGAAGTATTGCGTGGGACCTGGTTGAGTGGCTTGACGAATTGCATACGCGAAGAGCTCCTGATGCAGCCGCTGGATTCGTTGCCGGTGCTGATGAGGAAGGCACAAAGGATAGAGAGAAGGAACTGGGCTTGGGCCACCGAAGGAGTGGGGGGAAATGGATCGGCCCATTTGGGCGGATTTGTAAAAGGGAGCCACAATAACGTGACCCGCTCAAATAATACCCGAGGAAACAATGGGTTCACGGGCCAGCACAATTCAGGCCCAATATATGCCAGAAGTGGATTTGCCAATAATAACACTACCCAACCCAATAATAACACTGTGCCAGAAGGTTCGAGAATGGAGACAATCAATAACCCTAATACTACAGCACCGATCACAAATCAGCCACCTGAGAGCCAAGGGAGCACTAACACTCGAAGCGATAATCGTAGACTACCCCAAGCGAATTTGCAGGATAGATCACGCAAGGGGCTATGCTTCCATTGCGAAGAGAGATGGAATCCTGGTCACCGGTGTGCAGCACGGCAACTGCGTCTGCTGGTGATAGATGATTATGGCGAAGAAGAAGATCAGCCTAGCCAAGAAATTCATGGCGAAGCCATGGTCCAAGATGAGGAGGCGCTGCAGCTTTCGTCTTATAGTTTGATGGGGTTAACGACTAACAAGACGATGCGTTTGTGGGGGGAAATAAAGGGGAAGCGTGTCATAGTCTTGATCGTCAGCGGTGCATCCCATAATTTCACCAAGGCTGATTTGATCTCAGACATCCAGCTTGAGATAGAGGATACACCAACATACAACGTGGAAATAGGAAACGGGGAGAAATTAAATTGCAGTGGGGTTTGTCGAGGGGTAAGGCTGGAGATACAAGGGTGTCAGATCATACAAGACCTATTCGTGTTCAATTTGGGTGGACCGGATGTGGTGTTGGGAATTGATTGGCTGAAAGGTCTAGGTAATGTGAAGGCCAACTTTCGGGAACTCATCTGTTTTAAATACGAAGGGAGAGAGGTTATATTTAAGGGTAAGCCTGAATTATCCAGAAGCCTAGCATCTCTCAAAGCCACGGTGAAGGCAATTATGGGTGAAGGAGAAGGGTATTTCTTACAACCAGTGTTCCAGAGCGGACAAAAGGATGAAGGGGAGGTGGCATGGGCTGAGTTACACCTGCTCTTGGAGGAGTACGTTGATGTCTTCACTGTTCCAACAGGATTGCCTCCAAAACGAGGTCGGGATCATGCTATTTTGCTTAAGGCAGGGAGTGAAGTCCCCAATATCAGGCCATTCAGGTACCCTTTTTATCAGAAAGAGGAAATAGAGAAGGGCATCCTCGAATTGCTGAGCTCTGGCTTCATTCAACCCAGTGTAAGTCCCTACTCAAGCCCAGTTATTTTGGTCAAGAAGAAGGACAACTCTTGGAGGGTCTGTGTTGACTATCGGAAGATCAATAAAATGATCGTGCTAGATAAGTTTCCAATGCCAATTATAGACGAGCTGATTGACGAAATTGGTGAATCCTGCATCTTCTCAAAGCTGGATTTAAAATCAGAATTCCACCAAATACGTATGAAGGAAGAGGATATCGAGAAGACCGCCTTTAGGACACACGAAGGGCATTACGAATATTTGGTGATGCCCTTTGGATTGACGAACGCTCCCTCAACTTTTCAGGTGTTAATGAACGAAGTCCTGCGGCCATTTCTTCGTAAATTCGCCTTGGTTTTCTTTGATGACATACTGTTATATAGTAAGACCAAGGTGGACCATCTACAGCACCTAAGGATGATCTTGGAAACTTTGAGGGATCAATAACTATTTGCCAACAGGAAGAAATGTTCATTTGGGAAAACGCAGATTGATTACTTGGGTCACATCATCAATAGAGGGGAAGTTGCTGCAGACCCAGCAAAGACAGCAGCAATGAGTGCATGGCCAATGCCACAGAACGTGAAGGGGCTGAGGGGATTCCTTGGTTTGACGGGATACTATAGAAAATTTGTCAAGGGATATGGGATGATAGCCAAACCTCTCACAAATTTGCTGAAGAAAGACTCCTTCTGCTGGAATGAGGAAGCACAGATGGCCTTTGAACACCTGAAGAAAGTTATGTGCGACCTTCCTATTCTATCCCTACCTGATTTCAATAAATTGTTCACTGTTGTGACTGATGCATCTGGCAAAGAAGTAGGGGCTGTGCTGATGCAAGAGGGAAGGCCTCTGTCTTTCATAAGTCAGGGGTTTTCACTTCGCTCCCAGGGTAAGTCAGTCTATGAAAAAAAATTAATGGCATTGGTTTTTGCTGTGCAGAAATGGAGGCATTACCTTATGGGTAGGCACTTTGTGGTCAAAACCGATCAAAAGAGTCTAAAGTACTTGATGGATCAAAGGGTCCTGGGGGAAGACCAGCAGAAATGGACATCCAAACTGTTGGGCTTTGATTTTGAGGTGCAGTATCAACCAGGCCGTGAGAATGTAGTGGCGGATGCACTCTCTCGTGTGCAATATTTTTCCACATCTGTAGTCTCCTTACCCTTGATGGATCAGATTGAGGAGCAGCAACAATCAGATCCCCATTTGAGGCAGCTCATCCTGGAATTAATTCAAGACCCAGGCAGCCACCACGGTTTTCATGTTCAGGACGGTAAATTGTGGTTCAGGGACAAACTGGTGATACCTAAAGGCTCTCCTCTTATTGCTGTTCTATTTAGGGAATTTCACGACACCCGCATGGGAGGACACTTAGGTTTCTTCAGAACTTTCAAGTGAATATCGAATCTAATATACTGGGAAGGGATGAAGAAGACCATCCAAGTTTATGTGTCTCAATGTGCGATTTGCCAACAAAGTAAATCTTCTACTTTGACACCAGCTGGCCTGCTGCACCCACTCCCAATACCAGAATAGGTATGGTCTGATATTTCTTTGGATTTTGTTGGGGGCCTTCCTAAAGCATGTGGGGTAGACACCATACTAGTGGTAGTCGATAAGCTCTCAAAGTATGCCCATTTTCTGCCCTTATGTCATCCTTACAGTGCGCAAGAAGTGGCCTTGTTGTTCATTAAAAATATCGTTAAGCTACACGGATTCCCACAATCCATTGTTTCTGATAGAGACAAAAAATTTCTTAGCCATTTCTGGTCAGAATTGTTCAAACAGGCTGGCACACATTTGCGGTTTAGTACCGCATACCACCCCCAGTCCAACGGGAAAACGGAGATTGTGAATAAGTGCTTGGAAACGTATTTGCGTTGTTTTTGCCAGCCTCAACCCAAGCATTGGCCTAAATGGTTACATTGGGCGGAATATTGGTACAATACCACATATAAAGCCCCTACTGGCACCACTCCATTTAAAGCTCTATATGGTACTGACCCACCATCATTGTTTCGAGCTGGACACGGGGCCAGGGTGGCCGAGGTGGATAAAATGTTACAAGACAGGGATGCTATATTACAAGAGCTGAAACAGCATCTGATTTTGGCCCAGAACCGCATGAAGGTCCAGGCGGACAAACATAGAAGGGATGTGGAGTTAATGATAGATGATATGGTCTATTTGCGAATTCAACCTTATAGGCTGAAAACATTGGCGAGACGTATTAATGAGAAACTAAGTCCCCGCTTTTACGGGCCTTATCGGGTAATTGGGAGCGTGGGGGCAGCAGCTTACAAACTGGATCTACCACCTACCTGCCTTATTCATCCTGTCTTTCACATCTCATTGCTGAAGAAAGCCATCTCTGGGTCTGATCATGTCCAACCACTCCCACCAATGCTCACGGCAGAATTGGAGCTGCAGGTCACCCCTTCTCGTGTGCTGAAATAGAGGAAGACTGCTGCAAACTCGATTGAGGTTTTGATTCACTGGCATGACTTACCCTCCTATGAAGATTCATGGGAGGACTCTTTCTTTCTCAACAATCAATTTCCTTCATTCAACCTTGAGGACAAGGTGCGTCAATTGGGGGGGAGTATTGATACAACCCCACCTAAGTTTGTGGCTTACCGTAGGAAGCATTTCAGAGAATTACAATCTTTATGCAAGGAAAAGGTGACGGTTAATGCTGAGGCTATTAATGCTGACTTGTCCAATGCCATGTCACTACCACGTGAGGAGAAGGCAGCAAATGGTGAATCACAGCCAGGTGATAAGAGCAGTGCCTTGAAACGGTTGGAAGAAAGAGAATAAGATGGGAAGAACCGAAGGAAGAAGGATCCTTTTGGACAATGGGAATTCTGGACTTTTGGGAGAGATCAGGGGCTCTCCAATTCCTCTGAACCTATCCTTTATTTTCTGTCATTTCAGTAATTGTTGAATGTTAATTTGTCTTACGAATTATGTCTTGTTATTAGTTTGATTTCCAGAAGTACATTCTCTGTAATAGAAGCTGAATACTGTACTGATCCTTTCTCAATATATAAAAAGTGAAAATACAGATTTACATTTCCATTTGCAAATCCTTGTTGAATTCAAATATTCGAGTCTTACATAAACCTATAATCCTAACAAGATAGAAAGCATTTTATCAATTTACTGCTTATATTCATGGCTGACAATGAGGGTAATTATGAATATTTATGCAACCACGCAATAGAGAAGAATCAATTGTCCCTTCAGTAATGTCCCGCCATGATTGTGAGTGAAACTCAATATTTGGTGTTGACTGCGAGAGATAGTACATTACAAAACAACTTGATAGATATGTATGTCCTCACGAAAAGGTAATACTTCTGAACAACAATTTTTCCTAATTCAATCAATTGTCCCCCTTGAGGTATGTCTATTTTCCTTGCTTGACGTGAGTTACATATCACAAACATTGTAAAGGGCACAAACTTTGACAGTTATTCATATAGAACTACTACTGACCTTTTGTATAAGTGAAAATATTAACTTTTAATTTTGCCATAAAATATTGCATTAAGGTTTAAGTTTCGGTCAAAATTTGTGATCACAAAGTGCCTATCAAACACAAAAATTCTACTAGACAGCTACAAGGCCAGCGATACTATAGAGTAGTGCATGTTGGGCAGCGAAGTGCCAAGAGCAAAATATATGTCTAGCAGAGATGAGAACGCTAAGGCGGATGAGTGAACATGTGAGAAAAGATAAGATTAGGAACAAATGGATCTAGGAGAGAGTTGGAGTAACACCTATCCAGGAGAAGATAACAGAAACTCACCTAAGGTAGCTTTAGAAGAAACCATTAAGAAAAGAATGTACTAGATGTGTGGATAGACAAAGTTGCCTGGTACAAAATAAAAAGTTCTATATCCCAAAATGCTGAAATGCGTGTTTTATAACAAATATTCGACCCTGTGAAACTCATCTTCGAATGCACGCTCAAAGGTGTGTTAAGTGTTAACATGGAAGTAAAACTGGCCATCTACAGGGCAAGAAGAATATCGTATAAGGAAAAATGACTCCATTAGCAGAACTTTTCAAGGGTTGAGAGGGGCATCTCCCCCATCCCGCCATTTTTTTGTAATATTAGGGTTCAAAAAAATAATTTCATCCCAAGTATTTATTTTAACCCACCAGCCATAAGAAAGTCATAAAGAGTTCTAACTTTCCATCTCACTGGCTTCACCATGTAGAACCAATCTAATATCTCTCTTGTCCCTATTATTGTGGTGGTTTTAGAGTTGCATCTATAATTATGAGAATTGGCAAGACTACAAGAAAAAAAAATTACTACTAAATAATTATTATTTTCAAATTATACTGTGAGAAATTAGGGATATATATTTTTTAATACATGTATAGGTAAGTATAAATTCATTAGAGGATTTTTGGAAAGGAAAATCACGTGAAGGTTAGAACTTGACCTAAAATTTTGGACCCCTAGAGATTTTGGTTCAATTTGCAACACTGAATGACTTTATTATAGAGCACATGCAAAAACTGAGTACAGCTAAAAAAAGATACTGGAAATAACAAAGGAAAAGGAAAAAGGTTATGGATATGAACTTGCCTTTCTACTACATTTTTCATTTGCAAGGCATATTCCCTTTTATCTGTTTGAGCACGTAATGCACGAACTGCAGGACCCCTTGAGACATTGAGTACACGCTTTTGTAAGTAACATCTGAACACAACATAAATATGTGTATGAGCATCAAAAACCCAAAAAACACCTTTTCAAACTAGATTATACCACAAATGTAGTTTATTATAAACACAACAACTCATGAATATCTGGAAGATAGCAGTTACATTAAACCAGAAGCAAAAGTAAATATCTAATAATATAAAAGATGCATTATTCAACTTGAATATAAAATAATAGAAGAATAATATGTTGTGTATTGATCTGTGTCAGAGAGTTACAATATATAGAGACCCTAATGGGCTTAAGTGAAAGGCCCAAACCTAATCCTAATACAGTCAGAATACAGTCAGAATATTTACGGATAAGACGGAATCCAATCATATCTAATCATATCATATCTAATATTCTAACACTCTCACTCAAGCTGGTGCGTATATATTATGAGCACCAAGCTTGTTACAAATGTATTCAACCCGAGGACCTCTAAGAGCTTTAGTGAAAACATCCGCTAGTTGATCAGAGGAGTTGACGAAAGCAGTCTTGATTTCTCCTGACTGAATCTTTTCTCGAATGAAGTGACAATCAATCTCTATATGTTTGGTCCTCTCATGAAAGACAGGATTAGAGGATATATGTAGCGCAGCTTGATTATCACAGATGAGTGTCATGGGTTGTTTCTGTTGACAAAGATGAAGCTCCTGAATCAACTGCTTTAACCAGACTAACTCACAAGTAGCATTTGCCATTGCACGATACTCAGCTTCTGCACTAGATCGAGCAACAACAGGTTGTTTCTTGCTCTTCCACGAAATTAAGTTTCCTCCAAAGAAGACACAATAGCCAGAAGTAGAGCGCCTGTCCGAAGGTGATCCTGCCCAATCAGCATCTGAATAACCACAAATTTCTGTATTTCCCTGATCTGAATACAACAAACCTTTTCCTGGTGCTCCTTTGATGTATCGGAGGATCCTCACAGCAGCATCCCAATGTGAATCACAAGGGGAATCAAGAAACTGACTAGCCGTACTAACAGCGAAAGAAATATCTGGCCTAGTCACAGTAAGATAGTTGAGCTTCCCAATTAGCCTCCGATAACGTCCAAGATCAGATAACGGCTCCCCCTGTCCGGGCAATAACTTGACATTAAGATCCATAGGTGTATCAACTGGTTTACTCCCCAACATACCAGTTTCTTCTAGGATATCCAGGGCATATTTCCTTTGACAGATAGAAATGCGTTGTCTGGATTGCGCCACCTCAATTCCCAAGAAGTAACGCAGCTTCCCAAGGTCCTTTGTTTGAAATGTACTAAACAAATGCTGTTTTAACTGACGAATTCCGTCTTGATCACTTCCGGTGAGAATGATGTCGTCAACATAGACTAACAAATAGATACACTTATCAGGAGATGTAATCCTATAAAACACAGAATGGTCAACTTTACTGCGGATTAAGCCAAACGCCTGAACAGCAGAACTGAAGCGACTGAACCATGCTCGAGGAGACTGCTTGAGACCATATAAGGATTTCCGAAGACGACACACCTTTCCAGACTCCCCCTGAGCAACAAAACCAGGTGGTTGCTCCATGTAAACTTCTTCTTGTAAATCACCATGAAGAAAGGCATTTTTGATGTCAAGTTGAAGGAGTGGCCAGTGACGAACAGCAGCAAGGGCAAGAAAGAGGCGGACTGACGCCATCTTAGCGACCGGAGAAAATGTATCGCTATAATCAAGGCCAAAGATTTGAGTAAAACCCTTGGCAACTAAACGTGCCTTGAGACGATCAATATGGCCATCAGGTCCAACTTTCACAGTAAAAACCCAGCGACAACCAACTATAGACTTCTCTGGAGGAGCAGAAACAAGGTCCCAAGTGCCATTGGAATGAAGTGCAGTCATCTCATCAAGCATTGCTTGGCGCCACCCTGGATGGGAAAGTGCTTCACCTATGGTCTTAGGAATAGAAATAGAAGAAAGACCTTGTTTTTTGCTCTAAAACCTAAGCCCACTGCTTAGGAGTCCTCTTTCTTGCCGTGCGTCCTTCCGGCAAGCCTTCTAGGGCTGTAAACAGCCTCTGAGTGATTTTTCCAAACGCGTCAGCACCTCCGACGGCCACCGGAACCACCGCCCGCCGTCAGAATCACTGTTCAGGCAACCGGAGACTTTTTCCGGCGACTTTTCCGACCAAACTTCACGCGATCAGGACCCTCTCTTCCTGGCGACCAGGTCTGTGGTGGTCCGGTCAGCAACGCATCTCCCACGCGCCACCTGTCTTCTCTACGCGTGGGCTTCACGCGTCACCTTCTGCCGGCGCGTGAGCACTATTCCGGCGGCTTTTTCCGGTCGGTCTTGGATAGAGAAGCTCGCCTTCTCCTCCCCTTTCTGGATCTGTGATTGTTTCTCTGTGGGTCTGACCTTAGACGCGTGCAGCATAGTCCGAACCTGAACCAAATGATGCATTGTCTGACTGAGCTATATTTGCAACAATAGAAGGAGAGTTAACCTCCGAGAGATCATGAGATACTGCTGCCATTTAAAGATAAAATATAAAAGCCGTAAACGAAGGCAAACGATATCCAATCAAGAAGAACCACGCGTCTAAGGTCAGACCCACAGAGAAACAATCACAGATCCAGAAAGGGGAGGAGAAAACCACGCATCTAAGGTCAGACCCACAGAGAAACAATCACAGATCCAGAAAGGGGAGGAGAAGGCGAGCTTCTCTGTCCAAGACCGGCCGGAAAAAGCCGCCGGAATAGTGCTCACGCGTCGGCAGAAGGTGGCGCGTGAAGCCCACGCGCAGAGAAGACAGGTGGCGCGTGACGGCGCGTGGGAGATGCTTTGCTGACCGGACCACCACAGACCTGGTCGCCGGGAAGAGAGGGTCCTGATCGCGTGAAGTCTGCTCTGATACCAACTTGAATATAAAATAATAGAAGAATAATATGTTGTGTATTGATCTGTGTCAGAGAGTTACAATATATAGAGACCCTAATGGGCTTAAGTGAAAGGCCCAAACCTAATCCTAATACAGTCAGAATACAGTCAGAATATTTACGGATAAGACGGAATCCAATCATATCTAATCATATCTAATCATATCATATCTAATATTCTAACAATTCAGAAGTGGAAAATCTTATATAGTGCCAATGAAACAAGAAGGAAAATTGGTATATAAAACTGAAAGGAAGAGAGGCAAGTAATGTCAACTATGCCAGTTACGGTCTAATGATCATACCTAACTGCATCCACAAAATTACCTATGAAGATGCAAAAGAACTAGAAGTGAAGCTGTATGCATCTTTCAAATTACCTATCAGCAATCTTCCCTATTTCACCACCTAGCGCATCCACTTCATGAACAAGTTGGGACTTTGCAGGCCCACCAACTGCTGGATTGCAAGGCTGCACAGAACTGGCCTTAGTTAGAAACTCTTCATGTTTTATAGATAGAAGCATGCATCACACGCTTAACCAAATCAAAATAAGGGATTGGCATACACGGCACAAGCAAAGGCAGAACAGATAGCAAACACATATAGCTTGATTTTGAACATCGAAAAACACAAAACAAAAAGCCCATTCCACCACTTATATATTATACAAGGATGATAGCTACATTAATGGTTTTTATATTTCAAAGGACACACTGAATTTCAAATTACAAAGTCTATGTAACAAAAGACAATACATGCTGCAATATTGCTACAGCCAGTAAATAGGTGAAGTCTTACAAGCTGAATGAACTACGAAGCACTTCGATGAAACCACAAAAGGAAGCAGCATTAAAACAAGATGGATTTCTTAACAACTATAATATTGATACATGATTCAAGAATTAAAAATAAAAATCCTGCAAGGGGCGTATAATTCTACCAAACCTGCCACGCAATACGGTCAATATTCAGAGTAAGAAGAAGAGTTCTTGCTCCCAAACGTGCAGAGGCGAGGGCGGCTTCGCAGCCTGCGTGCCCTCCTCCAACTACAATCACATCATATTTTTCATCTGCTGTTCCGATTTCATAATCTAATTCAAAAAAAAAATAAATCTCAAATAAGTAAACAATTTCAGTTTTTCAAGAAGGATTAACATACTCTGACACAAAAGAAGCCTGAAAAATGAAAATCTCGTACCTCGGGAGAAGGAACCGGCTGCGACGGCGGAGAAGCGGCGGGAGAAAGTGGAGCCAGAGAAGGAGATTCGGCGACGGAACTTGCGACGGAATGTGAAGTCACGAGGGTTCAGAAGAGTACAAGAGGAAGTGGAGAAGAGTGTTTTTCGTAAATTTCGGCCGAAGTGACAGAGATGGAGAGTGAACAGCGCCGTTGCCATTATCGCATTTGGTTCTCAAAATAATGGGAACGCGAAATTATGATAAAACGAATTATCACAGTTTTCTTAAACAGCTCTCAGCCGTTAGAGGCAGCGCGCAGTGGCAGAAAACAGTGTTCAACGCCGTTTCCTTGTTATCTGAATGTAGTTTAGTGAAATAACGAGACTAATATTTTGGGCCCAATGAGCTGGCCCAATGTAAATCGAACAGCTAGCTGGCGGTGCTATTGATGAAAAATAAAACGCTATGGTCAGGATTTCTGAAATGATTGAATTTTTAAATAAACTTTATCTGTAAAATATTGATTACAAATTAAATATAAATTATCTAATCTATGCATACATTTTAATTTTGGATGAACTTAATTTTAGCAAGTGAATTGATTTATGTTTGAAAGTGCTTATTTAAAAAGTGTTTTTGACATTACGAATGTTTGAATTGTGTTGATTAAAAAAATTAATGAATCAACGAAAAAAAATGTGACTTTATTTAATGAGTTATATTGAAAATAAATTAATGTTAATAATTTAATTGTAAATAACAAATTTCAACCTCCTATATTCTTGAGTTATGCAACTCTTGGTAAAAAGTTAACAGCTTGTGGAGGTGTTTTCCTTGATTCTTCAGGTGCTTGGGTTGTTGGGTTCACTCGAAAACGTAGGCATTTGTAAAATATTGGTCACTGAGTTTAATTGTGGACTAAATGTAAATTTAAGTGTGCGGTTAACTTAGTGTAGATTGAACGTGGTAATGCTCATCCATGCAATGTGTTTTGCCAATGTATAAAGGGTTGTTATTTGCAGTGAGATATAACATAACAAATATACCAAAAATTATAATCATCTATATAAAATGTTAAAAAGAAAAAACATGTAACATATCAGAAATATAGTATAAGGGTTTTATGACTCTCCTGTCATAAGAGAGTCAGTATCTTATGCTAAGATACATGAAAAAGTGCAAACATTTTGTTTTTTGTTTTAACTAAGCGGACTCTACATATATTTTATCTCAGCAACATAAGACATCATCTCACCAACAACATGATATTAAATATTGTCCACTGAGTAATATGTCTTATTTTTAACATTGATCAATCCATCACGAATGTAATAAATGTGTCACAAATATATAAAATCATTAAAGAAGTCTTCCCTTAACAATTTAAGTTTTTTGGTTGATTTGATTACTTACAGGTATCAGAGTTCAGTGACTATGAAGTCACAAGTTCGATCATCATTGTCCCCATGTTTTAGTGGAATTAAATACGCACAAAGTAAATCAAAAATTAGATATATGTAATATCCACGCTTCAAACCTAAAGGGCTTATATGAGGGGATATGTTAGAGAATAATATAAATCATTAAATTACCATCATCCAACAGCTTAAACTTTTTGGTTGAATTGGCTTTTTACATTATATCAGAGCATCAGTGTCACGGATTCGATCTTCACCGCTTCCATTTTCTTTTCTGAAATTTTTAGCACAGATAGGCTAAATTTGATGCATCATCAACCCTTCAAGCTCAATGGACTCTCGTTTGAGAGGGCATGTAAGAAATATATAAAATTATTAAATTAACAAAATAAAATAAAAAATAAAAATTATAGTATGCAAGCTAATAAACTGGATATGTTTATTTTATGGGATTTAGAAATATAATGTTGGAGTAATTTGGCAGTATCATGCTATAGAAGCACCAAGTGTGAGCCCCATTGTTTAAATTTTTTTAAGAAAAAAAAAACATCACACATATCGATGGCGTAGCCACATTCGAACTAGCAAGTTCCAAGCTGGTTTTCAAAATTAGAAGTTTTTATTTTTATTTTCAGTGACTATAAATGGTTTGCTTCCTCTAAACCTGCTGATTTTGGTACTAACTTTCTCCATAATTAGCTGATTTTTGAGACTAACTTTTCAAATTTTCTAACTCCGCCACTCATCGATGGGTCTGTTTTGAAACACTTCCAATTCGCATGTTTGATGCATAGTACAGGATAAGGCCTGATAGTATAAGGCTTGATTGTATAAGGCATGATTGAATTTTAATACTATCAAGCGTTTGACATGGTATTGTAGAAAATAATATACTAAGATAATATCATATAGTATTTGATAAATGCACTGTATAATACTATATAGGATAAAAATAAATATTTTTAATAAAAATATCCTTTAATAAAGAATTTATATAATTCTTCAAAAATGTCGTATGATATTAATTTTTAAGAATTACACTAGTCGACGATGTTAATACAGCAACCTCTTATCAGGTCTTATCCCTCCCCTTTGACCGGATTAAGTTATATATCATTTTGATGTATTAAGAGATACTGCTGTATAAGCTTATACTATACGATGGTCACACCAAACAACTGAAAATGTCATAACGTATAGTATAAGTTTATACTATCAGGCCTTGTACGTCACACCAAACAGACCCTTATTTTATTGATCATGTAATATAATCGTTCAAAGAATACTTTTTTTCTATAAAAAATAAAAAGGTTGTCGGTCACGCATGTATTAATTCTTTAATTTTAATAAACTTGATAGAATATTCCAAAAATTATTCGATCATACGTCATAGTTGAGCTCACCCTTCATCGTCAGCATGCAGTACGTAGACCAATACTTACAATGTGACGTTAGATGATAAATATAATAAAAAGATCAAATCTACTAAAAAATAACTAAATAAAAAAATCAAATAATCAATGTGTGACTCAAAATGCATAGGTATAGATGGCAAAGTAGCGGAGCCGCCATTAAAAATCGTCTATAAATGAACCAGTCCATCTCGCTTTGTTTTTAATAGTGGGATGGGAAAATCAGTTTATCCCATCCTATCAGCCCGACTTTTTTTTTAAAGTTTTTTTTCTTTCTTTTTTTATTATTTAATTATGGTGCATTTTTTCATTTACTATTAATTTAATATTGTAGCACCTTCATTTCTCAACATTAATAATCAATTTTTTATCAATAAAAAATTATTGATAAAATTATTAGGATAATAAATATATTGGTAAGCAAAAAAATTTAATAGTCAAACAGTTTCTAAGGCTGTGTCCCTCTTTAGGATCTATTTCATTAATGCCCAACCTTTTTTTCAAGATGTAATGTAACAGCATCCAAGGTTCGACATTTGATAGAAGGAACTGTTATTGAAGACAGTGGGTGATATTGGACACTTGTCTCCCAGGATAGAAAAGAATGGTGGCACTACCAATCAACAGCCCAAACGAACACAACAATATGCCAGAGGAAGTCACACCGGAGGATGAAGAACAGTATGCAAAACCGGAAGAAGGAAAATTCCGGCAGAGTTTAAGTGCAGAAAAAACTGGATATATTTCTGAAGGTGTCAGTGTCAGGAAGTCACACCGGAGGATGAAGAACAGTATGCAAAACCGGAAGAAGAAAAATTCCGGCAGAGTTTAAGTACAGAAAAAACTGAATATATTTCTGAAGGTGTTATAGACACTGACCGGTCACGATGTCCGGGACGGCGGCGCGCGTGTGTGGTGAACCAATGCTCACCTAGCTCTTCCCCCTACATAAAACATGTAGTGACCAAAGGGCCAATCTAAGAGAGGGAAGTGAGAGCTTATATACTCTCTCATTTCCTACTAATTGTCCAATGTGGGACTTGTTAAAACCCACACACCTCTTCATCTTCCCTTTTTCTCTTTTCTTTATTAAGCCACTTCTTATTCATAACTAATGGATCATTGTACATTAATTCATTCATTAATTCCAACAGGAACTTTTATTTAACATCCATTGGTATGAAAGAAAACAAATACTTTACGGTGTTCATTTGAAAAAGAGCATTTGTTTCGCCCATTGCACATAGATATTCTATAAGCTCCGTAGCTACACTAAACACCAAAACAAAAATGAATCAGAAGAGTAACAAGGTTATTAAAGTCGTACATTATTAATGGAGAACAAGTAAAAACTTTAAAGAATTTTGATATAAATGATTATAGAGAAAGTAAACAACAAAAATGAATAAAAAAAGGGCTAGCCGGCCTCTGGTGGGGCAGATTAGGCGAGGTGGATTGAAAAATTTATCCTACTCCATCCTGTATGACGGGTGGGACAGACCAAACTTATTTTGTCACCTTTATTCGTGGGACATGCATAAATCATTAAAATGAAAAATATTCTAAGTGCTATAGATATACTGAGCACTCCATACATCTTTTACTAAATATGAAAAAAAAATAACTTTTTTTCACTATCCTTACATTTATAATTGTTACGAGCCTTTATTACTTACTAGAGTTAGAGGGCCCACGAAAGGACAACAAAAAGACAAAACTAAGATAAATAAAGGAAATATCTATTGCATTTTTTGATAAGGAATAGTTATTTTTATTTATTTTTTGACAAGGAAGTATCTATTTTTATTGCATTGAAAATGTGCTCATTTAGATGAGGCCACTGTATCCAAAGGAATAGAGTAACCGTGAGTTTAACTGAATAGAACCTTTATATTTTTTTCTTTTTCAAATAAATTTTTATTAGTCAATAATAGTTAATTTATAAAATATATTAAATTTTAATTTTGGACAGATATACTTATCACCAAAAATATTTATTATATTTACAACTAATCTAATCATGTTGATTTTCGTCAATTTAACGGTTATAATTTATTAAGAATTAATAATTAATTAATCAGTACAATATGTAAAAAAATTGTCATTATTATACTGTTTTTTATAATTCAAAGAAAAGTCAACTAATTTTAATAATTATTAATAGATGAAGGCTTGTTTTAAAACTGTTAAGAATTTAAATATAACAATCAACTTAAATTTTAATAAAATCTTAGATACTGATAAAATGATTGAACTTCAAAAATATATTATATACGTGCTCAAATATGATTCTTTTTGTGTCTTTATTTTTTGTCCTTTTGTTTTTTCTCCTTACCCCTTTCTGGATTTATCGACTTCACTCTCAGTTACCGCACATGCTGCATTGATATGCGCTGTTCGGTGACTGCACTTTAAAGGCGTGCGCATTTTATCAAAGCAAGAAAAAGGAATCCTTTGGATTTGGTA